TCTAATATAGAAAACTACCGACCTATAAACATCACGTCAGTAATATCCAGGACTTTGGGAAAGGTGACCGTCAAGAAAGTTATAGACTACATGACGACAGACCAATTACTCTCGCCAGCACAACATGGATTCTTGAAAGGCCCGTCACGCGCTAAAAGCCATCTTGACTAGACTACGCTACAAGCAAGCGTGACCAACGCCTATTTGGAACTATCCCTTTCTTACACTTCAAGCAAGCATTCGATGAAGTGCCTCACAAACACCGGGTCACTAAGTTACAATAGTATGATTTCCAAGACCCATTACTGTCCTGACCTAGAACATCTTCAGAGGGTCGCTTTCAAGTAGTAAAATTCAGTAATTGCTACTCTTCCCCTAGACCTATACAAAGTGGTGTCACCCAGGGTAGTGTGTTAGGTCCGATACTTTTCCTAATCTATGTAAACGATAGCTACAGTGTTATTCATAATGGCATACCTTTCCTTTTTGCAGGCGACTTGAAGATAGTCTACAGATTTTCTCCTGCAGCACTGACACAAGGGTTCTCTCAAATACAAGAAGATACGGGGGGAATATTTACATGGAGCGTGACCTGGCAGCTCCTTCTAAGCCCAAATAAGAGTGGCATCCTCCATTTCAAAAAGTCCCACCCAGAAGTAACACTACACTTGGGTGACATCGCGCTGCAGATATACAACACTGTGGGGGCCTCGGAATCACTTGCTCCAGAAGTTTGACTTATACGAAGTATGCAGATTCGATGGTTTACAAAGGCAGAAGACTCATCGGTCTTCTACACAGAAACATACTCACACCTGAAGCAAAACTTATACTACACAAGGTTATCGTTCGCTCAATATAAGAGTATTGCACGGTTATCTATGGTAACATGAAAGTATCGGACAGAATTCGGGTAGAGAACACTCAACGAAACTTTACGCAATGCCTACTAATACAAAAAGAAGGACTTGCATACGAAGCAAGATACAAGAGACTAGAATTAGAACCAGTCTGGCTGAGACGCCTGAAGCTCAACCTGACATTTCTTTTTCGTCTTTTGTTTGGAAACTCTAAAGCGAAATGTGCTACCACTTTAAACCAATACAGGCATATAGTCTGCGTAATAGCGAGTACATCATCCCAATAAATTAGTATCACTCAAAACTTCGGTGTAGGCTTTCCATAACGCAATACAGTACGCTGTGGAACAAACTTCTCGCTTCCATACGAGCATGTCGTTCTCTCAGCCAGTTTGAACGATTACTTAGTGAATTCCTACTATCCAACGATTCTCATCAATTCACTGACGGCCAAGCCACAAAGGTAACACCATGTGCAATGGTGCTACTGGCACCAAGACTCAAGGGAGACTAACAGAAATGAAAAAAGTGTACAATGTCGAAAACTAAACGCATAAGTTAAAATCTAATTTTTAAAAAAGAAAACTGACCAAGAGTGAACGGGAAGCGGAGTGCGATACTATTTGCAACAATGAACTCAGTAGCTACTCTAATGCAACCTGCATTTCTTCATAACCCAACCGATTTCACGACTTAACACCTTCCTCTCAAAATTCCCCCCTTAAAATAACCTCTCTACTCCTGATTGATAAAAGAGCTGTTTATCGGTGCATTTTCATAACATGTAACATGTTTTACTATTTGCCCCTTGTCATCAGTACTTACATGCAAGTACTATGCACCCACATACTGTTTCGGTGGCCCCGATATTGTAATATTCAACAGGCAACACCATGATTATCCCTCCCCCGTGACTGGATAAAGGGTGGTTACCATCTTAGAAAAAAACATGAATTTCACTTAAATGTTTATAACTTCATCAAACTTTTGTACATAGGTACATAACAAGTGAATACCTTGTCCAACATCCTCTAATCTCTCCTTTTCGTAGAGATATCTTCTGCTTGAGACCAGTTCTCATCACTATCATGTGCACCTTCATCTTCTCCCACCTAAGCTTACCTCTAAACAGATGGTTCTGGATACTTCAAGTAAGTTTTGTAGTCAGTACAAAGAACTCACCCGGATGTATCATGGTTGATCTACTCCTACGTATTTTTGTGCTCCTGTTTCGAATCTCGCCTGCTGCTCGCTTTTGTTATCCCCCACTCAGGTTCACCTAGCCAGTCCTGCATTCAAATGAAATCCCAGAAATCTCATTTGTCAGTGTGCACCATGCCATCAAAACCCTATGACGAAAGCACACACCCCAAGGTCATGACTGTACTGCATGCCCCACCTTCAAGAATATTGGAAGATTCAAACAATAACCGAGTAATTCCTAAATTCGAACTGAGACTGCTTCAGCACACCTCTTGTATGCCGTGAGTGACGGTATGCAATGCATAGCTTGACATTGTACATAATAGTCATTTCTCATTACCAAAATGGTCAAACCTGTAAACTGGTTTGTATCCATGTAACCTATGTTATAAGAAATGTATATATATATATGCGTATATATCATTATTATCCGTGGACAGCGTCATCACCAGACTGGGCGGCTACTCAGCATCCGACGTGCTGTGCTCATCCAGCTGGGGTGCATTCTACTCTGATACGACCGATTTTGCACAGCCCAGCATGGTCAACTACATAGTTTATCTTTGTGCTGTCACAGTCGTAGGGGACTTGACTTAGCTTAATACTCCCCTGTTAGTCATCTCTCCCAGATGCCGTGCCCCTCTGACAACATCAATACCTACATCCCCATGACCCGTCCTATTTTCCTACTTGTTAATTCCCTTCCCTCCTTTCCACCGCTATCTTCGCTGGGTTTGCCTAGGTGTTTTCTCCCTTTGCGTTGCGCTTCTTTCCACTTTGTTTCTTCTCACTTCCTCCCCTTGATTCCATCATACAGCTCTTCTCATATTCTATCTTCTTTTGACAATCAACCCGAACGACTATCTGATGACGTGTTACTTAAGGAACCCATCTGCATAAACGTCCTTGAAAAACTCATACAAGCCCTGCAAACTTAACCAAAATCCAACCTCCCGCCAGGCTAACCGTGAATACGGCAGGCGAGTGGGTAGACCTACTATACTGGGATCCGTCAGAGACCTGTAGCGTTCCGCAAGGCCCAGAAGCGAGCGCGAAGAAATCAAATGTTTTACACTGGCTCGTAAAAGTATGCTGGATTTGGGGTGTTGGACAGCTGACTGATATGAAGTTAAGGTTGCAGAGTCAGGAGTTAAGTACGTCTTAAATCGCTAGCTCACCACAAGTGCTGGGTCTTAAAAAATGTGAAACGGTTGGCCACAATCATCGTATCGCATATCGTCCGTCACAGTGAACTGACACTGTGGCCGGTCATGGGACTTTTAGGTTCCAAATCGCTAAAAAAGATACGTAACCAGTAAACTGAGAGTTAATTTTGGCTCAGATGTAAAACCCAAGAAACCCTTTTCCCCTGTTTATGCAACATGAAGCCTAAGTTTTGCTTAGCAAGCTTTTAATGTTGCTGTCGCAACAGATGCTAATGGAAATTTTAGTCCTCCGGGAGGTCCTAACGAAAATCCTAAGCTGATCCAGAGAAACCTGATCCCTCTCTACTCGGAAAAGTGTAGGATAATGATTGCTGACAAATATGAAAACGGAACCAGTTCTTATCTCCCGGGTGAAATAGATACCTTTCACTCAATCATGGAACAAGATCTTGACGTTACTTTAAGCGACTCGCGTGGAGCTTCTGTTCACTATCACCTTGCTGCTAACAAGGTATATGGTACCTAAAGGCTTCTTTCGCAAAATTTACTGTCTAACTTCGGCTGTGTTCACCATGGTGTATGGACTGCATATTCGTCCTGATCTTGAAAAGAATCGCTCATGATGTCCCCATACTTGACGAAGGACATAGCCATCCCAGAACGGGTCCAGAGAAGAGCCACGTGGGTGATTGGGTTACCATGCAGATCCCACCCGGATCGTTTAATTTCTCTCAAGCTGTATCTGCTACAATACCAGAGTATCTGAAGGGATGCGATCATGATGTATCACACTGGCCATAATTCTCCCCGTCCTAACAGGTTCTTCTGAAGCTCTAATCTGGGACGTTGAGGGTAGAGCATGAGAGGGCACGTAAAACGAACCATGGTAACTGGTTTGCAGTTTGGGTTTGTAAACTGTGGGACTTTCTTTCTTCAGAAGTTGTTACAGCCCGATTCCCTGATGCTTTCAAACGGAGATTAGATGCTTAGTTAGAGTCTCGTAGTTCCAATGAGCTGTATTCGGAAAGCTTTACGTCACCTAAAGATCAGGAGGAGTAACACTACCTTGAGACAAGATTTAATAATAATAGTCAAGGCGTTAGACAAAATCCGCTTGAAGACTTAGATTGGAAACATACGGAGAATGACTGGCCGCACTGGATCTGTATCCTCTGGAATATAGGAGGCCAAAAGGAGACTTGGTAATGACTCACAACATTCTCAGTACTCCTGGCCATCCACACCGTCACTCAATAAGTCTTAGCTGCAGCACTAATCTTAGAGGAAACACAAAGAAGACAACTATGACCATTCCAAGTCTAGAACGTACCTCACTGAGACAAATGTAAAACTCAAGGGACCATAGTTCACCTATTTTACAACACGATGTTTGAAGTTTCTAGTCCCTCCCTTCAGCATCTGTTGCAGCCCCATCTCCTGATACCTTTAAAAGGAGGCTAGACGCACACCTCGAGTCCAACGGTACCGATGGGTTATACTCGAGAAGCTTTCCTTAGATCAGATGCAGTAATACTAACTTGAGACCAGATTAATTAATTAATCGTATCTCTATTCTTCCAGGTTTTTCAGAACCAGGAAGATAATTGTGACCATTCCAAACTCAGAACGTATTCCAATAAGACAGAAGTAGAACCCAAGGAACCGCAGTTCACTAATTCTGCAACATGAAGTTTAAAGTTTAGTCACGTTAGTTAGGGCCGTTTAAAGAGTCGCGGGGCTTGTGAATATATTTCAACCTTCCCGTGTTTTGATGGACGATGCCCTTGAAGAACTAGAGAGTGCTGCTACTGCTCAGTTGGTAATCTCCTATATATTATTATTACCATTATAGCTAGCGGTAAAGACGGAAGACCGAAGGCGTGCGGAGGCAAAAATCTTGCAATTCCGTTCTCATCCGGAACCTTACGAATTATGTACAGTTATTTTGTGTAAGTATATTTGGTTTTGTATGATATATAAGCAATACGTCTTGATCAATTACGGATAACAATCCGTATTTTAACACTGAGGTTATTTCCTTAACCACATTAAAGTGTATGGGATGGTTGCATTTAGAAATACACATTACACAAAATATAAACAGTTCCCAAGAATTACCATAAGTAAACTGAATTGGTTGTCAGATGAAGAATTTTGTAATTGCATCCCAAGTGATTACCGGCAGAGTTGCAGTTCAAACATGGTTCAGACAACGCATATTGCAACTAAAATTACTATTAAAATTGAAAATCACTTCAAAGTTTCTCAGTCTTCTCACCTGTTCATGTGAAATCCGTCTTTATATCCATTATATTAATAATAACAACTAAGATAGTGTGGCAGTAAAATGAAAAGTTACAGTAAGTGTTTTTATAAAATTTCTGTTCCCCAGTTATGTCAGTGGAGTTAGTGTTGTAGTAAGATGTCAGTCACTTCAACACTGTTCACTAGCACTTCAACACTGATGGATTTTATTCATGGTGGATTTCGTTTTTCCACCTCCTTAAGTTGAAAAAATATCTCCGTATGTATCCATATTACTTGATGTGACATCTACGTAATTTGACTCGAAACGTATAAGTACTGCAAATGCTCAAAATCCTTAGGCCAATTCTGAATTAGTCCGTTAACCCAACACCTACTGTTTATGTTCTTTTTGTAAGACCTTATAGTAAAAGTCTATTCAACGTCGTTCTTCATGCGTTAGCCTCTGTAAAATCTTGACCAAACGTCCCACTAAAATGTTGATGAATTCAGTAGGAGATAGGAGATAGTGTTATCCTTTGTTTCTCAGGTTGATTGAAATCCATGTGTTGTCACATGAGTTAGCGATGCAGACCACGTGTACGAAGGGCTCGTTCGTATAAACCAATAGATTAGAGATACACTCATTGCATTTAGTGATGATAGATAAGTTTCTTGTCATATAAAGCCGAGGTTACTGTTTAGAACCATACTTAATTTGCTTGAGCTGCAGAGGTTTTTGGATTATTTATCAAAGGAGTAACTACTACCTCATCTGAAGTCGTCAAGCAAGTACACGTAAAGAAATCAACTTCGAATCTTTCATTGAGGTGCATCAGTCCGAGTTTTCACACTCTAAAGCAACACCAAGGGAAGGGAGTAAGCAAGTGGGGTGATTACAAAATACGCACTACGAGAGGAGTCGATATACGAAGGTTGACGATATCAATTTCAAAAATACTAAGGCTTGAATGCATCTCACAAAGTTTTTTTCAGCGCCTAGTGAAAAGTTGACATTAAATATGCTACAGTTGTATCGATCTTAGCATTTTTGTGACAAATAATTTCAACGTCACGAAAGTCTGGTCCGGGCTTCTTCAGAGATCAGACTCCCGTGCGAAACGTCGGGATTATTTATTTCAAATACGCTGGGATTTATAAAAATATAGCACTTAAATACATCTGTTTCACTGCGATCCATTTTGATTTCTGCTATCATAAAAACTCCATCTATGTATTCCACACTTTCAGGCTCAATCTGTTAACAAACGTTTGATATGTTGTAGGTCAGATTGTGATAGTTCCGCTACCATAATATAATATCACACATGCTTTTTTCAATGATCTCTTTCAATTTTTACTTTCTGTCTAAGCTCGTTCCAGCAATGATTGTCTGCTTTATGAAGCGGGTCGATGCTTGTCTCATGCGATAGTTCGAGAGTGGAACTCAGTCTTCGCTTCTTCATGGGAGAGTATAAATAACTGCAAAGCCTTACAACTTCTCACTTTCATATTGGAATGGTCACAAAACCGGGGATTTGAGGTATTTGTTTCTTGACTTTTACTGATGTGTTACAGTTACTTTCCTGTCCATTTCTGCTAGGTGTTTTTTGATTTGATGATGTAATTCCTAATCGAACAAATTTTAATTGTAATCTCAATATGTTGTTGTCATGCTTCGATTTCGATTGTTATAGTCATGGTCATTTTGAAATTTATTCACGCTGGGATCATTTTATATGTATTTTCAAATAAATCACATGTTTATCAAGTGGAACAAAAAAACAAATCAACGCAGAACTTTTCAAACGACTGCACAGGTTCAAGTTGCCACACTTCACAGTAGCATGCAAAGAACAAGCGTACATTTAAAGACTGACATCAAAGAAGACAAAGATATATGGGATGAGGAGGAATTTGAAAATGAAAGTTAGTAAAAGTATTCAAGCTTTGGAAGACGCCATTGTGACCGAGTTTTAGCCACGTCACCAAACGTAGGTCCCCAACCTTTCACTCCGGTCATCTCGATGACCTCAACTAGGCAGTCCACACCTCCCTACACGGTTCAAGACCAACAGTCAGAGACCTTATGCAGTAGTGCCATGCCTTGGTCTGACCACCTTAAGCCCTTTTCTAACTTGATTCAACTTCTACTAGCGTTGCACTCCAAGACTGGAGGTTGCTTGGTATACACACCACATTTCTAAGCCATCTCAATCGGTGAAGGACCCCAACATCATTGATAATGATGATGATGACGACATCATTGACCGATCTGCTTGTCTTCCCTAGTGCTTTTCGCTGACCTCGATGTTACTCATGCGATGATTCCACCATAGCCGACATGCAGTGCTACGAAGACACCTATGGTTAGAAATTTGCAGTCTCTTCATATCCCATACTTTCAACAGTCAAGTCTCACAGCCGTATGGCTGGACAGAACGGACTGGATCGCAGTATACTTGTCCTTAATAGGTAGTCGGATATGTCGCCAGTCGGCGCCAGCGCTGACGCAAGTTGGTAAATGGCGAACAAGCCTTCTGTATCCGATCTTAGATCTCGTCAGCAACCAAGTCATTATGTCTGACCCAACTCCTCAAGTTAGTGAAGTGGTAAACACATTCAGCACTTCACTCCCAATCCGTAAGTTGGGAGTTAGTGCAAATGAGTCCTAAAGCATCCTACATTTGACAGATGAACAAGACATACCAAACATATTCAGACTTCTGCACAAGGCGTCCAGAAGATCATTCTTTTTGTCAGCGTCTTCGCCTAACTGGACAATGTCCATCAGATGACGTTCCAGATAGTAGGGTCAATCTCTGCGAGGTCAGACGTACCGGAGGTTACGCCTAGTACCAAAGTAAAGAGGGACGGTGACGGCTGGTATTGGGGGAAAACACCACTAGTTGTCGTCAATTCACTTGATAACTCTCTGTAAACCGTTACACGACTGCGTGAGTTCGAGGAAACAGCTCTGATCACTGTTACATCCTTCCTCGCAACTTTCTTTAGGGTCAGAATGTTATAATACCTCACGGTTGACTGAGTCAAATGCTGCCTTCAGGTCAAGAAATGTCACAAGTATCCACCGTTAGCCAATAAATACGCAACCTGTGTTTCACAAACTGTCGGAGGGTGGGTCTGATGGATGCACCCTCGTTCACGTCTGAAACCTGTCTAGTTTTCTCGAGCCCATTAGGCGTCGTATATCCATGGATCCAAGGATCTTTGGGAAAATATTGGTTAAACTGCTCCTCCCATGATTGTCATAGTGAAACTTCTCTCCATTGTATACTAGGATGATCCGTGAAGCAGACCAGTCCGATGGAACTACCTCTGATCCCCACACACTACTTAGTACCTCCGTCACTCTACTCAGCAGTTTCCCACCTCCATCCTTGACAACGTCGGGTTATTGGTCATCAGGTTCTACTGCTTTAGATCGCTTCAAGTTAGAAATAGCCCTCAGAAATTCTAGGTGAGTTGAATGACCGACATTCACATCCCATTCAGGTTCATGCTGGATGCTGGGCAACAAAGGCGTTGTTGTGGACCAGTTGGACTTCTTCAAAGTGTTCTGCCCAACGTTTAAGCTGTCTGTTCTGAGAGGTTATCAGGGTTCCATCCTCTCCATCTCCTTTCCATCTCACTAACCAACGTCTTCTTCTTGCCAGCGTTTTTAATGAACCTAAGCAGTTGCCTGATATTACTTAATGCTGACACTTTCATCTCTTTCGCTTCACTACCCACCAGGGCTCACGATCATCACAAACACTCATGTTTAATTTACGTTTCAACTGCTCTCACTCGTCGTCGTGATCAAAGGCAGTTGGAATGAGTCTTCTCCCACCAGTTGGCTCGGATGTGATTGTGAGAATTCATTGGCATGTGATAACCTTTGGATGTATGTTACCAACTGTCTTTACCTCTGTTTCTACAGTAGACTTAATATCACGCCAGGTTTCCTCAGGATGGGCATTACTGTCATGTTCAGATAAATGCTAAGCTATCTCCTCCCTAAATATGTACTTCATGTCCTTATCTTTTAATCTAGCACACACAGATTTCACTGCCATCTGTGATCAGAAAGGCGTAGATATACACATACCCTCACTAATGTGTGCTTGTTGTCTAAACAGGTACCCAAAAAAGAGCGCATTCATCCACTGATCTTCCAACGATGACTCATATCAGTACTATGTATTTGTTTTCGCCGACTGATTAGTGGCAGTGGACGCCATATGTGGCTGTCTTTGCGTATGTTTGGGATTAGTGCTGGTGAGAAACAATTTATTGTCGACGGAAATTGCAAGAGACTAACACTTTTGTCGGTCCGTTGGTATGTGATTCCGTAAATACCTCCAAGATGTCTTTCTGGTGGACTGAGCTCGCCTACCTGTACATTGAATTCGTCTCCTAATGTATTCTGTTCCAAACGATGCATTCAGGCAAACTCTTGGATTGCCAGAAGATCGTATATTAGACTTTCAAGAAGTAAAGTTTTTAGAATGTGTAGATACATGTTTCTGTTGAATGATAGGAATCGGCAAAACTATGTTCAGAATAGTTTGTTTGTCAGTGGCTAACATAAGAAATTGTGAATTCATGTCATTGATCGTTTTTCTGTATGCGTCTTATCTACGTATCGTTTTCGTTTGTTAGATGAGTATAATTGCGTCTGAGCTGCATTATCACTTCCTGTCATTTATGTCGAAAATCTTAAAATTTGAGAGAAATTTGTTAGTTTTTCGGCTACAATACATTAATTGTTTGAGAAATAATGTTTATTTTTTGCAGTGTGGCCCTGCTGCCCGTCAGCGTATTTTGACTGCTGCTGGAACGCTCGTTAAAAGAGCTTCAGCAGCTCATGCTGAAAAATTTGCTGCTGCCTGGCGTTCAACAAAGTGTGATTCAAATGTCTTACACAAGCTTGGTTTAGGATCACGGATTCTTATCACTCCACCAGATGATCCTGGACCACCTTGTTGGTTACTCATTAAGTTGATCGAACACATTGAAGAGTTAATTCAACCTCTCACTCAGACAGATATATCTGGGATAATCAGTGACCAGGTAAGTGTATTAATGTTCATCTTTAAATATTCCTCTCAGGTATTTCACTAGTGATCTAACATCTCGATTCAGTATCTTATCGTCTGATTTCACTGTTCTTCCAGTTCAGCAACCCTTTTGATTTCTAAGAATTACATTTTTTTTGCTTTCATAATGTTCAGTTTAAAATGTGTTTAGCAGAGAACGTAGCAAATTGGTGTCTTTCGAATCTGAAGTACCCTGAGACACAGAAAGCTAACAATAAGATGAGATTATGGGGGACAGTGGCGACTGGGAAGACTATAATTAGTGCTTTATCTTTGAAACCGATATGAACTCACCTGTTCCATTACGTGTGCTTGTAAGCAACATAATATACCATCGTCAAGGAAACTAAACCTCAGATAAGAAGCAAGTTTTTGTCCGTGTGATATAACTTATTGGTCAGTGCGAACTAGAATTATATTTACTATTTTGCAAACTGATAGTGGGATTAGATAGGGGTGTTTACAATCCGTCTTAAACTTTGTCATCCTTGACGTTATCGAGACAACTATGAAGGAGGTGTATGACGGTGGTGTAAAAGTGTTATCAGATGCAGGACACTTGTGAACCTTGAATACGCGGGTTTCATCGTCTTACTGTGCAAAACTGAAATAGAAGTTAATCAGTTGGTTGTTTGTACTTTTATGTTCTGCATATTCTTTTCACCGCTGAAGTGCAGTGCTTCTGCAAGATTGGAAAAAGTCTGTACCTGCACTCGCATATGACAGTGAACTTGTGGCAGTTGTCGAAGTTTGTGTCTCTGGGTCGTCGTTTCAGTGTCGGTGAAGGCGTGAATGGTGACATTTCTAAACGTATGTTAAAGAGCAGAATAGCAAATACCAATCTGGGTAACCTTTGGTATCATCGTTAGCCTTGTTGTGAAACATCGACTATTCAGCGCGTGGGTGTAGGTAGTTCTGCTTTACACCAGTGAGCTAAGAATGTCATGTGACTCTGCGTTTTCGATCACCATTTTCATCTGGTGAGAACTTTGTGACTGATTCCAAGGTCACGGGGTGCATGTTTAGGCGTGATGAATGACATTGTTCACTGAGTGAAGTTATCTTAAAACAGCGGCTTCTTTGGCTTGGCCTATCGTACCAAGAGCTCAACTACTGTCCACTGTTCATTTGTTCTGAGACTGGTCGGAGAAAGCTGGGAGATCAGTGTATGACGTCGCACCGTGGGAAAAAGGTTGGTTTTGTTGGGCTAGTATTGCCTCTGAACTCTCTAAATGGACTCCGAGAGATTACAACTGTGGGTTGGAACGATAGCAAACGTGGCTAATCTAAACCAGTGCTGGTCGTATTGCGGCTTTCTTGCTTCTTTATTTATGCAGAAGTATAACAACTAGTGAATGTTGCTTAAATGTTTCGAAAACTTTAACCGTTTTTGACAGTTCATTTATATTTTGCGTGCCTTTGTTGTTCTTCGTTTCCCTTTTAAGTTTTATTAACGCTAACACAACACATTATGGTACATAACTTGATGGGCACAATTTATATTGATTTAGGATTTTAAGTCAAAAATTTGTAAAGTGCGGCATGTATCCAGCACCCGACAGAGACTGCCATAAAACCATCCTATGGATGAAGCTGAATACTATCACGTCGAGTGTGTCGGGCACCAGTGACTGTATCTTTGTTCCAAGATCTGATGCAGGGTTAAGATCTGGTCGGCAGACCCATGAAAAGGTCTAAAAATTCACCTCATTTTCTTTGGTTCATTGTTCACGAATCTCACTTAAGCGTCCGATAGCTGTAAAATCTAGAATCATAGAAAACATGTTCGCCAAGCTGGTCCGTCGTTGGTTATCATGACAGGATTTCACTCCTTTCTTGGAAACTGGGACAATCTGTGAATGAGACCAATTTGAGGGAGGCATATCTGATTCCCATAAGCCAACTAATACTTCAGGCAGCTTCGACAATAATCCACAGTTATCATCCTCAAATACCTCTGGTGCAAGTTAATTGGTTACCACTACCCTTCCTCGTTCCAAGTTACTGACAAACTTCCTAAATTCTATAGGAGTTGTAAAGTCTATCTCAATGTTTCGTTTGCTGAGTAACTGAAAAGCCGACAATCGATGTGTAGCAGGAGGTCATTTGAACTGCCTTTCAAAGTGTTTCGCTCATTGTTCCTGTCATCTCCATCTCATGTGAGCCAATCGTCGATCCTTCTGCGCTATGATCTCACTATGCATTGACTTTTTCATCCAGGTTTTCGTTGTCAGTGTAAATAACTATTTAATTTTGCCTACTGCTGCTGTTTTCCCAACCTCTGTTGCCACCAATTCCCAAAACTATTCTTAATTTCGACTGGGACTTCTAGGCTCTTGAGCTATTTTAACTCATCATTGTACTCGGAACCTGCGTGTGTTCACAGACATCCAGTAAATTGGTTCAAGCCACTGAAATCCACTGTTGTGAACTGTAACGTTGTTTTCACAGAAGACTGAGGATAGCACTAAGATTCTTTAGTATAAGAGACTTCGTTCTGTGGCGATGGACCGTCCAGCCAGTTTTTTTTTATGAAAGCAGTCCCAGCGTTCTAATTATGAGGCTGTGCTCAAAATAAATTTTTGGTCACAGATTCATTTTCATTTATGCTCAGACTTACCCTTACCTAAAGCAGTAAAGCTGTGGTTTACTGTTCTAGGTAGTCAACCTGCAACTAATGGATCATAGCTGGCAACCATCATCCATCTTCACACGTTTAGGAAACCAGGTATTATTATTATTCCTCATACACTAGGTGTGGCCTACTGCACGAATGTGCAGGTAGTTACTGAAGGCGTTTCGATTTAGATACCTAAAGCAACGCGCGTTTCCTGTACTAAAACGTCTCCTGAAAAAGCCTGCAACCTTTTACCGATCATCTTCAGCAAAAATTTAAAGCCATATAGCATGTCGGTGTCACCTTTATGTTAAGGCGGTGGACACTGTCATGGGTGATATAGCTCTGTATATCTCAAGTGCGTCTTCCACCACACATTTCCGCTTTCATGAGGACCAACCCCGAAGTCTACATTTCACTACATGGGTCTAATCAAGAATCGCAAAAATGATAGACTAAGCATGCATAGCACACCTCTCAGTCAAGTCAAATAAGCCGATGAATGTTCACAAACTCATCGATCAACTTTCCTCTTCTTCTAAAACGCCACATCTGACTTCTGTGTTACTGACGTGCTGGTACCACGACACATGGTCACTACTACGAAGACAACAGTGGTCGAACACCTGAACCCTTCTCATGTCCTCTACCTTCAATGACCATATTTCACATCAACAAAGTAGAATGGAGTGAACTGCTACTCAGTACATCCTACCCTCAATAAGCAGTCGGATATCACGGCACTACCAGAAATGGAGTAGGCTGGCAGGAGCTAATAAAGCCTTTTTTTTATCCGTGGCGAGATTTCGTCTTTCACCGACACCAGGACTGATCCAACTCTCCAAATACGTGAAGCGGTCAACACACTCAAACATTTCACTCCCTAACGTCAAACAAGAAACCAGCAACAATTCATATTTGGGTGATCATAAACTCATTCCAAATATTCTCAACTTTCTACTCAAGGTGTCCAGAAGACTCTGCATCTTGTCAACATCTCCACTTAACACGATTATATCATCTGTGTATCCTAGACAGACCAAAGAGTCTCCTGTGACAAAATCGATCCGTGTAAAGTCAGGTGAGGCACGTCTATAACAAAATTAAATAAGAATGCAGAGAGTGGCATCCTTGACGGACACCACCCGACACTTGACATTCACAACTCATCTGACAACTCACCATAGACTCTAACACGTTGACGAGTGTTCGAGTACAGAGTGTGTACTCGACATCCCTCACAGTGAGAGATATACTGTCATAAAGCCTCTCGGTCGGCACAGTCGAATATCGCTTTCAGCTCGAGAGATACAACTAGTGCGTGTAGTCCTTACACTACCACTCCGTTGAAAAGTTCACAGACAACTTTCAACTGGGATCTAGCTGAGGAGTGCACTTTCTGCCTCAGGATTCAATTTTACACTACACTTATAAGACTGCAAAAGCTAACCGACAGATTCTAGTCAACCTAACTACGCTCATCTAGATTTCTAACTGTGGCGTCAGTGTTTCTGACTATTTCGTTTCTCAACAAGCGAATGATGTTACGTACTGATAACCGAATAAGCAGTTGTCGTATTCCCGTTGGAATTCACCATAGACTGACATCATTTGAAGAATCATTAGAAATTTTGCAGCAATGGACAGGCGTTTCTTCCTAATATGAGACTCCTTAGCAGTGTGCACCCATGGCGCCGTTGAGTCTAACCAACTTTGACTTGAAGACTCAACTACGTCAGTGGATGAAAGTGGCGCTGTATCGTGAACTGACTGGATTCTAACCCAGTGTCTCATTGGTAACGTGCTGACCGCGAGACATGAAGGTCCTGATTTTTAACCTTTGACGGGGTCATAAGAGGGCACTGTTGAGGAGTCCCATACTAGGACAAAACAACTGTCCAGTACTCCTACCTGGTCGATAGCTGCTACCTTGACGTGGTGGTCGAGCTTGCATATCACAATGACTCAGTGAGATATACTGGTGGAACGCCTGTTTCCTCAAGGTCCTACCATACCGTGTCAGGAAGATCTGTCGGATACTGGTGAGACGGAAAGCAGTTACCGTTGCAGTGTAAATTACTACACTATGATGGAGGTGTGAGAGCGAAGTCGTACTGCTGCTAGCTGGATGATCTACAAGACAGAAGTTAGGTTTTCGCCTTAGATGACTAGCAGTGCCACGCTGATGCTGTCTTCTCAACGAAAGAGGGGGTGGGTAAAGGTCGACCTCTAAAATAACACACTACCATGCCCCATAGTCTCCCGGTGCCAGCGGTATGAGAGGTTTTGTCTATCAGGAGTAAGAGTAATCGACCCTGAAAACAGCAACCCACAAAATACTGTGTAACTGGCCTCAAGTAAATGTCCCATCTACTCTGCGGTCACATGAATCATTTTCTCTTTCAGGAACCCTAAAGATAAATGGCCTTCCACGGTGTGGGCGGCCGAGAAGTGTCCGTCACTCGCATACTTCTTGCATAACCCAATATCCAATCAAATTTAACCTATCCTCCTCAAATGTCTCCTCCTTTTCCTTCACCTCCTGATACTAATATCGGGCACTTTACGTCTAACCCAATCCTACTTCGCAAGCTTGGCCAGCGGCGAAAGCCATCGGAACCCAATTCCTAGTCTCTTAAGGCCACGCTATCGATTTCATGCAAGAGCTTTTAACGTCCGAACTCTATACCAAGTTGATCAAACATGGCTCGCGAGAACTCTGGGATCTGGACTCATGAATATGTAGTGTCTCTAAGGCACGTTTATAGAACCCGGATCTGTAAGGACTAGGAAGGATCATGAGACTAGAGGGTGGCTATTCGTAATCTCCGCCTACGAACCCATCGACTGTAACTTGGATGATGCAAATGATGAATTCTATGATAATTTATCAATTTTGTTATAGATGTAGTCATAAGGGCGGGTGACTTTAACCCTCAAGCTAGGGAGGTCAGCCAATCTGAGAGGCATCTGGGGAGGTATTTACGGAATCCCGTGCCAACCAACCGATAACGGTAATCGTCTGTTGCATTTTTGCACCGATAACCACTTGTTTTTCGCTGGCGCTAACTTTAGGCATTAGACATTGTGACATGGCGTTGGCTGACATCAAACCAACGATGGACACAGGTAGATAATATTGCTATAAGCCATCGTTGGAGGATTGCTGCTGTTTCTGGAGTACCTGTTTGAACTCCGATCACGCGCTAGAACGGGCTCGGGTATGTCTGTGCCTTACTGGTTACAGAAAACAGATGATAGTGAAACCTGGTGTGATATTGGGTCTGCAGTAGAAACAGAGGTAAAGACAGTTGGTAACCTACACACGAAGGTTAAGAAAGGTCACTGGGTTTCCGCGATGTCATCCGAAATGATTGATGCAAGAAGACAAATTCTAGCTGGCTGTGACCACGACGAAGAGCGAATGCAAATTAGACTTAAGTTGGCCAAGAGTCTACGCGTCGATCACGAGCAGTGGTGGGTTGCCAAAGCAAGAGAGATGGAGAAGACATCAGCGTTGGGTAACATGCTAACTGTTTAGGCTTATTAAGGATATCGCTAAGAAGAAGACGGTGGTTAGTGAAACCATCACCGAAAGGTATGGGACGCTGATAACTTCCCAAGAGAGGCGACTAGGTGGTTGGGCAGAACGCTTTAAAGCACAGTTCAACTGATCCCAGCAACGCTTCAGTTGCCCATTATCCATCATGAATGGGACGTGGATGTTGGTCCTACTACTTTTCTAGACATTGAGGAAGCTGTATAGAAGCTGAAATGATGCAAAGCAGCAGCATTTGGCAACTTGCCACCTGAAGTTTTCAAGGATGGAGGTTAGAAGTTGCTGCTTTAAGTGGTGGAGGTACTAAGTATTATCTGGAAATCGGAGGTAATGGCCTGAGACTGGACTGCTTCACTGATCACCTCAGTCTATAAGAAAGGAGATAAATCTTTATCTGACAACTATGTGAGAGTCAGTTTGACCTTATCGTGTCCAAGATCCTAGGATCCATAGTTATTTGACGCCTAACCGGAACTGGAGAACAGCAAACTCAAGAAAACCAGGCAGTTTTTAAACCTGAACTTGAGTGTATCGATCATATTTTCACCCTCCGACAGGTTGTGGAGGGCAGGCATACCTACCAGCCAATGGCCAACACTCGGCATATTTCCTGACTTGAAGATGGCATTCGACTGTCGACCTTGAGATGTTGTTGCAGTGTTTGACTGTGAAAGGCGTACCGATCAAGTGCATAACGTTATCCAAAGCTCTTAAGTAGAACTCACCCAGCCATGCACAGTATTATGGAGAGATATCTTCAGAATTGACGACAGCCAATGGTGTTCGACAAGGATGTCCACTGTCACTGTCCTATTTAACTTCGTCATAGACGTACTAATGGAGATAACCTTAGGTATGTCTGACTTTACAGGGATTGACCTACTCTCTGTAGGTCATCTGGTTGACTTGGAGTATACAGGCGATATTGTCCCGGTGGGTAAAGACGCTGGCACAATGCATACAGGGTTTTGTGAACGCGTTGAGCTGAAATTCGAGTATGTTTGGCATGCATTTCACTGTCACCTGTTAAATGTCCGATGATGGTTCAGGACTGGTCTGCTGCAAGTGCTCTCAGTTTAATGATGAAGTAGTGGAATGTGTTGACCACTTCACTTAGTTGGGGAGTTGCATTAGCTCTAATGGGCTAGTTGCTGACGAAATCTCAGCTGGGATGCAGAAGGCCTGTTTGGGATTTGCTGACTTGTGTTAGTTGTGGTGCTGACTGGTGGGATATGAGACTATCTACCAAGGGACGAGTATACTGGGCTGCAGTTCGTTGTGTCCTGTTGTACAGCTGTGAGACATGTCGTTTAAAAGTAGAATGCAAGAGATGGTTACAGGGTTTTGGTCGTAGATGTATGTCTTTGTAGCATTTGATGAAATCACCATATGATCAATGTTTAGGTTGGGCGTAGGGTACTTGCTGGCAAGACCGGCGAGTCAGTGGATTGATGAGGTTGTGAATCTCCATTGACGGAGATGGCTTGTAGATCTAATGCGCATGCCGAGCCACCACCTACCTCGACGTGGTATGCTGGAGGAGGAGGCTAGATTAGGTTAGCAAAAGGTTCAGGGTGACCAGATCAAGACGTGGTACCAGTAGATGAAGTCTATGACTGTTGGTGTGAAGCATGTGGGTAGATGTAGACTGTCTGATTGGAGTCCTCGAGATGTAAGGAATCAGCATTTGAGGACTATTGGTGACATGGCTGAAAATCATTCACTGTGGCGCAGATGTATTCACTTCTTGGGGTCTTCTAAAGCTTGAATATTCACACTAACCTTTATTTTCAAACTGCTTGTTCTTTCACACATCTTTGTCTACTTTAGTACCACTCTTTCCATCCGCCTGTTCTCTGTGTACTACTGTAAAATGTGGCAACCTCATTCGATGCATTTGTGTGCGTGGTTCGACGTTGGTTCTGTCAATCAGTCAGCCAGTTCTCCCAGGTTTCTAATGGTTCTCCAACTGATGTTAGTCCGTGATGAATAATAACTTGAAATCAGTCGATTTGTCAGCAAAAACCTTCGAATTGAGTTGTTGTATTCTCACATTGTTCATCTTGTTTTATCACATCTATCTCATAAAACAAGAGAATACACTTTTTTCTCATTGTTGATCGTCAACGTTCATCGAACCGTTGGCGTGAATTTGGTGTTAACTAGACCGCTTGAATTCAGACACCTAATTGAAAGACTAGTACAAACGAGTTTTGGAAATTGATTTTATCTTTGGTTCACGAAAATATATCTCAAATACTAGCATTTTCGCTGAATGCAGAGCTACCCTGTTCTCATTCTAGAGAACAGTATGATAATATAATTTTGTAGAATCTTATGTACCTGAGCAGCATCTTATTTTGTGCCATTATTTTCATTGTTTGATCGTTTTCATTCTTTTTTGTCTTTCTTTGTCAGGATCCCCTTCTCAAACGAGGCTTATTGGGTTTATATATCCTGTCTGCATTATTAGATGAATTCTCTTATTCCGAAGACAGTGCACAGTTAAATTTGCCATTGGAAGCACATGTTTTCCTTCGTGCTAGATTTCAGGTACACTAATTTGCAATCGAAAGATCTTATGGGCTTAATGTATACTTTGAATAAATATGTAGACAAGTTTGAGTGTTTGGATCTATGAGAATGTGATTCTTAATTAGTTTAAGTCTTGTAATCTGCTTACTGTTTAGAATCAGATTGGGACTCAAATTTTATTTCAAACCCGATTGTCACCGTCATGTAAATGGGGAGTTTCTCTACCTTATGTTATTGCATATTCTAATGATGTCGAATCAGTTATCAACTTTTTAAAACATTCTTTTTTCTAGTACCCAAATATAGTAGTTTATAAGAAGTGTATTGTGTCTTTAGACATAATCACTATCATGTATCATGCACATTGACCCAATACACTGACTAGCTTCTCTGTATTAAGATAGAGTGGCAATATTCCCCCCTTCACTTTTGTTCACTGAAGAGGAAGCTGTCAATTTACATCATTTGTGAACTAATGGTTGGTAACTGGTATGTAATCAGTGTAGGCACCTCCAATGATCTTTACTCGATGTAGGATCTTTCTATTCCACTCGTCGTATGATCAGACTGTCCGGAGCTTAAGTTTAATGGACATCAATTCTGCGAAAGCGACTCAAGTTATACTGTTACACCCTACTAGAAGATTTCACTATAATCCATGCATAGGTATAATTTTCACAGCTAGTCGAATTTCTTGTTGGTGGTTTTTTTCTTTTTAAAATTGGTGCATGGTTTGCAGTAAGATTCATGTATCATTAACTACTGTAAGTACTTTCGGTATGAAATTTGAAGGTAGAAATTAATATTGTGTTGGGAGTAATTCCTTGAATCTCACTGTCTGATGAGTCATTGCTGATCTTTGTTGTAGTGCGAAAATACGAATTTTTATCACTTTGACTACAGTGATTGTCCATTACGGTTTTCAGATCTAATTTTCCAACTTAGTTTTTACACTATAGGCTACTCATCAGCTATTCATAACTTCATTTTTTCACTGGTCCCTTGAAGCTGTACGATACCAGGATATAGTCGCTTGCATCCTAATAGTGATGGTAGGGTCAGAGAGCGGAGTTATACTGCTGGCTGGGATGGAGTGCAGCGACACTAAGGTGTTTCTTGCGGATAACCGGCAGTACCATGCTGACGCTGTCTTCTCGATGGGAAGGGAGGTGGGTTATAGGTCTGCCCTACAAATAGAACACTCCCTGCGGTATGGGTTTCGTAACTGGATTTAAACCATTCAAATATAAATCCCCAACTTTCACAAAAGTTGTGTGTGATGTGTCTCAAGCAGATATCTTGTGGGTTCCACAGACATGCACCATTATTCCCAATACGATTTGTTTTTCAGTTACTTCAAGGAGAAGTAAACTGTTGTGTGAGCGATTGTGAAGTGTCGCCACCCTGAGAACTCTTTTCACACTGAAATCCCCTCAGATAACTAACCACCTTTCATATCTTTACCTTCTAATCTATTTTGGAATCTCCATGCTAACAACCTTTTGTCGTCCTTGATTTCTTCTAGCCTACTGGATGACATCATTGGTTTCTTGCAACTGCGCTCCAAACGACATGTTAAATCTTGTAATATTCGCACGCTTTTCCAAATTTGCCAACAGGCTTCGCTAGCCAAAACACTAGCATCTCGGGCCATGGCTGTACTCTGTTTCTGAAACACACAAGTGTAGTTACTCAACATTGCGCATCTGCGAAATTCGCTCTTTGAGTTTCCGAAGATTCGATGACTTAAATAGTAGAGAAAATTTATAGCTCAGGAAAAGGATGATAATTTTTCGGAACTTTGAGGTTTTTTCTTGAACTCTTCATCACCAGGCTATGCGACTTCATCAGCACTTACTTCGTATACAAGTAGAGAATTTTTAAGTTTCATGGATGTTGATAAAGAATATTTACCAGCCTCGAGCGTTATGGGCTTGTAGATAGAGGTGATGCATCCTTTCTTATGAGAGATTGACCTTAATAATTATTGTCATCCTTTGACCTATGCTGTTGACATGGTTTGTGATTATTGATTTACTTGACTGCCAAGTTGGCTGATCCCTTCTTATTAGTCCATATACCGGGTTAGTGTTCGCGTGTCTGTGAATTGTCACTTGATTTGAGTACCATGCTTCCTTTCGGGAGTTTTTGAGCTGTTTGTTGTTTTATTTTCATGTTGTCCCAATTAAATTTGTGGTTATGTTCATCTATATGTATCGAAATCAATTTAGACACAGATCATTTGACTGCAAGTTGGTGTTAATAGTTTCGACCATTGAACTGGTCAACATAATTATGTCGATGGTCCTTGCAACTAATTTTGTAGATTATATTCGTTTCATATTCTTTTGTTAATGAATCCTTTAGCTTACATGATATTTTCTACAAGGATTTGGTTGGTTTGTTTACCACACTGATACCGAATGGATGAAGTAATCGGTTAACAGTTTCTGAGACATCTTTGATGTATGGTAAAGTGATTCGTTTTGTGGGTTGAGGTAATTATCGTGATGCTTTTTCTGTTGATTGGCATTTCTCGACGAAGTTGGTTGGATAGTAATTAACTTTGAACATTATAAAGTTGGTTTTATTTTTATTTCTGAATTTGTTGAGTATTGCAGTGACTCTTAGCACGTGCGAAAGGTGTTTTTATACAATTCTTAGTATGAGGTGTTGGGTTATTAATGCTGTCTTTCAAAACTTGATCTGTATATATGTCGCCTTCCTATACATTGGAGTCGGTTCCATCATATGTTCTCATAATCACATCCAGGAATGCGATCTGGTTATTTACTTTCAATCTTGTGAATTAAATACCTTCAAAGGTTTAGTCGATGAGATTGAATGTGTTTTCTAGTTCGTTTGTTTTGATAATTACAGGTGTCGTTGACGTAATGAATTCAGACTTTTGGTTTGATTATTAGGATAACTATTGATTCCAATTTCTGCATCAGTGCTTCAGCAGTCAGTCCGGATATTGGTGAACCTGTAGCAGCCTCTTTAACTTGTTTGTAGATCTTTTCATTGAACTGAAAGTATGTCATGAGACAGGTTGATTAGTTTTAACAAGTTTTTAGCAGTTATTTTCTTGTATTTCTAAAGGTTCTGGTCATTGTTGAGTGGGATACTATGGCGAGATCCTTATTGTTTGACGTGAAAAGTGTAGTTACATCAAAGGATACCATTTTTTCTTCGTTGTCTCTTATTCTCACAGCGAATTGAGTCACTGAATTGGCTAAGTGTTGATTTCCATCAACGAAGTTTTTTAGTTCATTGTATAGCTTTTTGGACAAATTAAATCATGATATTCCTGTTGGTGACACTATTGGTTGCAGTGGAATATCTATCTATCTACCTTGTTTGCTTTCATTTGACTATAGGACCTAGGTAGAACTGGGCTATTCATTTCCACTCGTCATTTGACCAGCTTTAACTTGATTGTTTAGGTTTCTTTAAATTCCGTTTCCAAGTTGTTTGGTGGGACTCTTGTCCACCACTTGATAAATGCTCTTATCACTGATTACTTCTTGGGCTTTTTCCACTTAGTCCACTTCGTTCGCGACGACGGTTTTCTTTCTTTTTTGCTTGTAGTGTCACAATTTATGACGACTAGTTCTCGTGACCTTGTCGGTGTAGGTATAGCGGTACATGCTAAAGCAGGAAGTGCTGTACTTAACTGGGTCCCAAACGTTCAGACGTGGTCGTCGTATCAAGTGAGTTCAATGCAAAAGTGACTAGGCTAAGACAGATGAAAAGACCATCGGGTGGCATCTTGGGAATAGCATCCGAACAAACATATAACAGCTGTTTGAGTCACAACCTTTATCAGCCTCATTCAACAACTATATGAAGACGCCGCATGCCAAGTAATTCACAATAGGAAGCTCAGTGATGCTTTTGAAGTGAAGACAGGAGACAGGAGTGAAACAAGGTTGCCTACTATCTATCCCCCATGATATTCCTGACTGTGGTGGACTGGACCATGTAACAAACAGTGGGGAGCGAGAAGAGGGGGACACGCTGGACCGCAGAAAAGAACCTAGAAGACTTGGATTTCACCGATGACTTGTGTCTGATGTCGCAGAAACTTGAAGATCTACAGGCAAAAACTAACAAGTTGACAGAAGAGGCGAGGCAGGGCAGCGGAGACAGGACTTCAAATGAATATAGAGAAGACAGAGGTGATGAAGATACCGCACCACCAACAACAAACTCCAATCACCATCAACGGGAGGAACTTAAAGGAAGTAACCTCCTTCACCTATCTAGGAAGCACTGTTTCAACTACAGGTAGCGGCACAGACGAGGATGTCAAAGTGAGAATCGGAAAAGCAAGACAGGTGTTCATTAGCCTGAAACCAGTATGGAGATCTTCTGCACTCAGCATGTGGAACAACATCCGGATTTTCAACACCAATGTCAAATCAGTGCTTCTGTATGGCTCAGAGACTTGGCGCATTACGAAAGGGACTTCCAATAAACTACAGACATTCATCAACAGCTGCCTACACTGTCTCGATACTGAAGATCAGATGGCCAGAAAGAATAAGCAACAAGGAACTCTGGGAACGAACCAACCAAGAACCTATCGCTCAACAAATATGCAGGAGGAAGCGGAGATGGATTGGGCATACACTGATAAGGCGAACTGGGGAAATCACGCACCAGGCCCTCGAGTGTAACCCCAATGGGAAGCGACGAGTTAGGCGTCCAAGGTGAGGGTGACATGGAGGAGATCATGTGATGAGGAAATGAGAGCTTGTGGGCTGTCGTGGAGCCAGGTTCAAAAGATTTCAGAGAACAGAGCGCATTGGAGACGTGCTACTGAAGCCCTATGTTCCATTAGGAACCCAAGGGACTAAGAATAGTATAGTTATTGAGTCTCAAGGGAATTTCAAGACAACATTTATTTGAACATCGAGGGTTTACTATAACATACATTAGTATCTTCTCTTGTTTTATGCAGTTGATTTAAAAAAACAAGATGAACAAGGTGACGTTATGACAATTGTTAGATCGGCTATTGTTTCGTGGGTCGACCTTTACCCGCCCCCTCTTTCGTTGAGAAGACAGCATCAGCGTGGCACTGCTAGTCATCTAAGGCGAAAACCTAACTTCTGTCTTGTAGATCATCCAGCTAGCAGCAGTACGACTTCGCTCTCACACCTCCATCATAGTGTAGTAATTTACACTGCAACGGTAACTGCTTTCCGTCTCACCAGTATCCGACAGATCTTCCTGACACGGTATGGTAGGACCTTGAGGAAACAGGCGTTCCACCAGTATATCTCACTGAGTCATTGTGATATGCAAGCTCGACCACCACGTCAAGGTAGCAGCTATCGACCAGGTAGGAGTACTGGACAGTTGTTTTGTCCTAGTATGGGACTCCTCAACAGTGCCCTCTTATGACCCCGTCAAAGGTTAAAAATCAGGACCTTCATGTCTCGCGGTCAGCACGTTACCAATGAGACACTGGGTTAGAATCCAGTCAGTTCACGATACAGCGCCACTTTCATCCACTGACGTAGTTGAGTCTTCAAGTCAAAGTTGGTTAGACTCAACGGCGCCATGGGTGCACACTGCTAAGGAGTCTCATATTAGGAAGAAACGCCTGTCCATTGCTGCAAAATTTCTAATGATTCTTCAAATGATGTCAGTCTATGGTGAATTCCAACGGGAATACGACAACTGCTTATTCGGTTATCAGTACGTAACATCATTCGCTTGTTGAGAAACGAAATAGTCAGAAACACTGACGCCACAGTTAGAAATCTAGATGAGCGTAGTTAGGTTGACTAGAATCTGTCGGTTAGCTTTTGCAGTCTTATAAGTGTAGTGTAAAATTGAATCCTGAGGCAGAAAGTGCACTCCTCAGCTAGATCCCAGTTGAAAGTTGTCTGTGAACTTTTCAACGGAGTGGTAGTGTAAGGACTACACGCACTAGTTGTATCTCTCGAGCTGAAAGCGATATTCGACTGTGCCGACCGAGAGGCTTTATGACAGTATATCTCTCACTGTGAGGGATGTCGAGTACACACTCTGTACTCGAACACTCGTCAACGTGTTAGAGTCTATGGTGAGTTGTCAGATGAGTTGTGAATGTCAAGTGTCGGGTGGTGTCCGTCAAGGATGCCACTCTCTGCATTCTTATTTAATTTTGTTATAGACGTGCCTCACCTGACTTTACACGGATCGATTTTGTCACAGGAGACTCTTTGGTCTGTCTAGGATACACAGATGATATAATCGTGTTAAGTGGAGATGTTGACAAGATGCAGAGTCTTCTGGACACCTTGAGTAGAAAGTTGAGAATATTTGGAATGAGTTTATGATCACCCAAATATGAATTGTTGCTGGTTTCTTGTTTGACGTTAGGGAGTGAAATGTTTGAGTGTGTTGACCGCTTCACGTATTTGGAGAGTTGGATCAGTCCTGGTGTCGGTGAAAGACGAAATCTCGCCACGGATAAAAAAAGGCTTTATTAGCTCCTGCCAGCCTACTCCATTTCTGGTAGTGCCGTGATATCCGACTGCTTATTGAGGGTAGGATGTACTGAGTAGCAGTTCACTCCATTCTACTTTGTTGATGTGAAATATGGTCATTGAAGGTAGAGGACATGAGAAGGGTTCAGGTGTTCGACCACTGTTGTCTTCGTAGTAGTGACCATGTGTCGTGGTACCAGCACGTCAGTAACACAGAAGTCAGATGTGGCGTTTTAGAAGAAGAGGAAAGTTGATCGATGAGTTTGTGAACATTCATCGGCTTATTTGACTTGACTGAGAGGTGTGCTATGCATGCTTAGTCTATCATTTTTGCTGTCGCGAGATGTTGGTTCAAGTAGGTTTAGGTTGGGACAAGGTTATAGATGGTGGGACTGAAATGGTGTTGGCCTTGAAGTTCACGAATCTCAGTCAGACCTGCGTAAAATGTTTGCTTCTTTGTTTTGTTTTGCGCGGTACTTAACGTCTCTTGTTTTCACAGGTGATGTTTTGCTGGTTCTTCTCTGTGATGCGTTGGCTTTTCGGGCATTTTCTCAATTGGAATGCTGGTGCTGAGTTTCATTTGCATCTGATGCATACATCCTGTCTTTCTCTAACTTCTTACTCGTTCTGTTTTGGTGGTTCATGTTTTCTTCTTATTTTACTTGTTGCGTTTATGGGTGTAGGTTGACTTGTGCTGTTAGGCATGATTGTGTAGTTTGATATTTATAGCGATCGTTTAATGGAATGTATTCCGAAATGTGGCGTGTGAGAAATTTAATCTGTCCACTTTTCCTGTTTTGTGTTATTTCCGCAGCATTTAATGATATCAGTTTTTTTGGAGTAATTGTTGTTGGTATCATGTTTCTAATATTCTTAAAATTTATCATTTTTCAACATGCCTGTACTGAGTTTTTAATTCCCAATTCTAAGAGATTGGAAAACGGTTTTAATTGTTAGGCTTTGTCATATCAATTATAGACGACACAACCAAAGTACCTTATGATTGCGATTGCCTTCTATTTTGAGTCATGTCTGATATCGTCTCAAGGAATTGATTCTTATAGTACTATGGAACATTGTTTTACCAAGTATGTGTATAGTCAACACTGAATTTACATTATTTTTGCTGCACACTTTTTATTTTCAGGATTATGAACTTGCTAGACTTTTCGAAAACTTACTTTGTCTGACTAACCAAGTCTTAATGAGTTGGTCTTCCCTGGATTGTTCATCACTCAATCTTGGACAAAGTGAAGTTGTCTTCAGACTAATTAGCTGCCTGGATATAATTACCAGTTGGGATTTTTTACCACGTGAACGTGAGTCTTTTTTGTATATGCTTCAGTTTGCTTACCGATCTGAAACCTCTTCAGTGATACACGTAATCCAGTTTATGATAATGCCTTCACCTTGGTTGCTACAGTTATTAGCGACACAGCGAAATTCAATCAAGAGGTAGGTAGAAGTGTTGGGTAATCATAGGCATTAAAACTTGGGAAGGTTATGACGAAATAGTTACCATTTGATACTTCCAGCCACATTCGATCTGATCACAAGGAACTCATTTGGCAAAACTGGTGTTTGCACTAAAAAGTTGTTCAGTCTGTATACATATGATACAGGTGGCAGGGATTGGATTAGTTCAAGTGGACGAAATAGATAAGGAACCACTAAATAAGGAACGAATTCATTTCAAGTGATGAAATAAGAGTCATTATTGTTTGTCCCTTGGGTTCCTAGTAGAACATAGGCCTTCAGTAACACGTCTCCATTTCACTCTCTTCTCTACAGTCTTTTCAAGCTGGCTCCACGACTGCTCACGAGCTTTCATAACCTCCTCACACGACCTGCTCCATGTCACTCTCGGACGCATAACTCGTCGTTTCCCCTTTGGATCCCACTCGAGGCCCTGGCGCGTGATTTCTCCGAATGGTTTTCTCAGTGTATGCCCAATCCATCTCCACTTTCTTCTGCATATTTGTTGGACGATAGGTTCTTGGTTGGTTCGTTCCCAGAGTTCCTTGTTGTTTATTCTTTCTGACTGTCTAGTCTGATCTTCAGTATCAAGCGTAGGCAGCTGTTAATGAATGTCTGTAGTTTGTTGGACTTACTTTTCATGATGCACTCCAAGTTTCTGAACCACATAGAAGCACTGACTTGACTGGCATTAGTAGTTTTGAGAATCCGGATCTTGTTCTCACTTTATGCTGAGTGGAGTGCAGTAGATCTCCACGGTGACTTCAGATTAATGCAGGAAGGCCTGTCTTGCTATCTTTCCGATCCTGGCTTTGACGTCCTCATCTGTGCTGCCTGTAGTTGAAACGATGCTGCCTAGGTAGGTGAAAGAGACAACTTTCTTTAGATTTGTCCCGTCGATGGTGATTGGTGCTTGTTGTTGTTGGTTGGGTATCTTTATCACCTCTGTCTTTTCTACGTTCACCTGTAGGAAGTCCCATCTTCACTGCCCTGCCTAGCCTCTTCTGCCAACTTGTTGGTTTTGCCTGTAGATCTTCGAGTTTGTGCGATATTAAACACGTAAAATGATGACAGTCGAGTTGAAATATGCAAGGTGAAATGGAATGAAATTGACAAGCTAACCAAAATAAATTGATAACATCAAGGTAGAGAAAAGGGTTTTACAAAACGCTGTTGAATACATAGTTTTGGCTTTTGGTCATGTACAACTAATGCTTAAGCTACGCATAAGTGTTTGAAACGTAGTCGTTTGGAGTGGTTCAGTCTAACTATTTGATGAATTACTTTAAAGGGAGAATCTTAGGGAGCTGAATGACCTATTTCTCTTAGGTGCATACACATAGATAAGGTTTTTCTTCGCTTACCGTTGGTTAACCAAACCTCACAATGTCCTGCAACGCGGCCCCACTTAAAATCAATTCGTTCTGTATTTAATTGCTCCTTTTCTATTTCTCTCACTTGAACTAACCTCCCTCCACCAATAGTATTATATGTGTATTGCCTGAGCGATTTCCTAATGGATTTATCTGATATTTTACGATAGTGAAGTCATTAAAAAGTAATATTTCCTCACTGATACAAATTTCATTCTTCTAAAACTGATAGTATTTCCTAACATGATCCAAACTTCATCTTGATAATCTCCACTCAATGGATACTGATGGGTGACGAATGCCAATTTGTTCACATCTTATAATTTCTCCAAACCTAAACGTGTTGTTAGTCTGCATTTCTCTATCATATCTTGTTTATTTTAATATCAGTTTATTTTTGTCTATTACTAATCGGCTTGTTTTTTGATACACAGCAACTCATCATCAATATCAACATAGGACCAAACGTTGCTGCGTAACGGTCCGAGTTGCCACAGCTCATATCAGTAATACGTAGCAACTTGTACGGCGGGACTTTTTGTGTGGTTCTGTTTTTATATCTGTCTGCTTGCTGGTCAGATAAATAACCATGGTGTCCTGACGTTGTTTACTTTCAGCAACAATATCGTGAACCTGGATACTAAATTGGTTTTCGGTATTTTATATACTCAGCTGTTTGCTGAGTTAGCCTGTCATCCGCATGAAAGGTGGTATCGGTAAGCTACGTGAAATGAGTTACCGAGTTTGTAAGATTTGTCGGGCTAACATAAAAGCAACCATCTATCCATTTGTGTAATTATCGGCCTAGTTTGCAGCTTTTATTGATGGAGTTGTCTTCAGTGGATATCAGAGCTTGATGACTAAGCTACTCTTCTCATACAACGCAGCAATGCAAAAGTTTCAACCCTGAAATAAAGATCTCTAAACCGAGTCGATTCCTTGGAAGTGCTAGTCACATAAGTCAATAATTTTGACCCCCTGAAAATATTTGAAGCGTAATGCCAACACATTCTTTTCTGTATACCAATTCAAGCATGAAAATATCTGTACACTTCCTTATATTTCTCATACTTTGCAGATATCTTGCATATATTGTGAATTTTAGTCCTCATGTTAGTAGTATTATTCGTTAATCTTCGTTGCTGAAGTTCACTGTTGTTTGAGAGGTTGATGAATTGTTTCTACTCTTTTCAAATTTTAGTCGTCGGTTTTCATGCTAACCGAATAAGACATTCTGACCATGAAGCTCGTTTTCGTCCAAGTGCTAAATGGGGTAATATTTTGGGATCAGAAGCATTCCCAAGGACTCTCCTACTCTTTATTAAGGTATTGTTGCATAGTCTAAAGTTATTAGTAATATAATATCATGCATCTTCCAATATTCCTTATAGTGCAGAATAATCTTTCCATGAAACTACACTGTGATTTTTCCCACTATCTTTTATTTGTACTGGTTACTTCACCTATCTTTTCGATATTCAAGTGTACAACTCTTAAGAACTACGGTGGTCGCTGTTTGTCTTTGTAAAGCGGTTATGATAGTTGTCAAGCCGAGGCTTGATAACTTAATGCATTCGGATTATTGGAGTGATCTGTACAGAGAAGTGGGGAAAATTTAGGTATTTATTTTTTGATTAATATTAACATTAAAAAGATGCGACTCTTGCTACTCCCAATGAGTGTAACCGCGGATTACAAATAGTGGGTTTCCGTATATTCGGTCATTTCATGCTCTGTGACCATTCTTTTGGGAACAGAGACTCCTTGTAATAATTCCTGTTGAATTTCGGGAAATTAAAATTTGACTTCATAGAGTTAAAATTTACTCAGACTAGGGCATCTTAAAAAACCTAGGCACACAAACTCATTGTCATTTAGCCTTTTATCCGTAGTCCTAAAAACAGGACAATAACGACTGAACACAGCTGCATATTATGGTCATGTTAATTGACGTACACACATATTGCGGTAGAAAAAGAATATCGGTGTTAGATGATGGCAGTCAGTCGGCAGAAAGCTCTGGAACTAGATTTCCTCTTTGTTGGCACCCATCAGCGAGGTGTATCTCAACCACGAGGAAACTCGTGCTTCCTCAGTGATTTGAACTTGCGTCAATCAGTGCTGAAGTCAACGGCTTACCCACTAAACTTTTTACACGACGACTGACCCATTGAGGGACCGGGTTGTGTACCCTAATGTGTTGATCGGTATTGCCCATAAACATGACCAAACGAGCTATCTTAGTGGGACGCTTGTTTTCTTAAGGTCCTACCACACCAGAAATGTCAGTTAGATATTCGTGAAACACAGTGCAGTTACCGTTATGGTGCAAATTACTATTCTGAGTGTCTGAGGGAGAAGTCATACTACTAGCTAGTTGGGGGTAAGATATCAAGGAAGTGTTTCCCGTAGATAAGTAGCTGTGCCGCATTGATTCTTTTTTCCTTGTAGGAATGTGAGTTGGCAAAGATTAACACCCAAAATAGAACACTCCTCCGTGTCCTGCGGAGACTGTGTGACAGACTTAAAGGAGATGTGCCATGGACTCTGTGACTACACAAATCTTTTTCGCTTTGAGATAGCCTGCAGGAACAAATTCCTCGGCGTTGGCAACCCAGACGCTCCCAGTAGTATACGAGATCCAATCGAACAACCTATTTTCCTTACATCTGTCTTCTCCTGTGCTTACACCGCCTGATACCATTATTGGCTTCTTTTAACTTCCCCAACCTCTCACTTTACAACTATTAACAACGATGCAAGTCATTGAAACACTATTCCTAGTCTCCTAAGACCCTGCTGTCAACTTCACATTCAAGCTTTCAACTTTAGAAACCCATACTAAATCGAACAGTAAATATCTCTCATCAGAACTCAGGAATCTCGACCCGCGAATGTATGTTATGTTTCTGAGACGCGAGTATGGTTATGATTATCGTTGGAAGATCAGTGGATGAATGCGCTCTTTTTTGGGTACCTGTTTAGACAACAAGCACACATTAGTGAGGGTATGTGTATATCTACGCCTTTCTGATCACAGATGGCAGTGAAATCTGTGTGTGCTAGATTAAAAGATAAGGACATGAAGTACATATTTAGGGAGGAGATAGCTTAGCATTTATCTGAACATGACAGTAATGCCCATCCTGAGGAAACCTGGCGTGATATTAAGTCTACTGTAGAAACAGAGGTAAAGACAGTTGGTAACATACATCCAAAGGTTATCACATGCCAATGAATTCTCACAATCACATCCGAGCCAACTGGTGGGAGAAGACTCATTCCAACTGCCTTTGATCACGACGACGAGTGAGAGCAGTTGAAACGTAAATTAAACATGAGTGTTTGTGATGATCGTGAGCCCTGGTGGGTAGTAGAGCGAAAGAGATGAAAGTGTCAGCATTAAGTAATATCAGGCAACTGCTTAGGTTCATTAAAAACGCTGGCAAGAAGAAGACGTTGGTTAGTGAGATGGAAAGGAGATGGAGAGGATGGAACCCTGATAACCTCTCAGAACAGACAGCTTAATCGTTGGGCAAAACACTGATCAACTTAACCGAAGTGTTAGTTGGTGAATGCAAGTAAAAGATGATCCCTTCTGACTGATCTCAATCACTAACTCTTCACTTTCCAAGAAAGGTTAAGCGTCCTCTAGTGACAACCAAAGGGGAATAAGTCTCACAAACGCAGTGTCCAGATTCTATTATCAGTAGGCCCCAAAAAGAGATCGAGAAAAGCATTCACGGGAAACACTGGCAGACTGCAGATCTAAACGTGAGTGCATCGACCATATGTTCACTTCACCAGGTCCTGAAACAACGCCATAAACTAGCTACATTTCTCAATCTGAAAGCCACACTCCGTTGACCGAGTGGTGCTGTGGCAGTCTCCCACTGAAATCGATACCGAGTAGGTACATCATCCAGTTGAAGGCTCTGTACTTGAGCACCCTTGAGTATGAGTTGTGTATGTCGAATATGTTGAGTTGTGTCCGTCAAGAATGTCCACTTCCGGCAATCTTATTTACTTTTGTCATAGATTTGCTTACGAAGCTTTCCCTTGCCTCGTGTGAGTTTAATGGGATTGACCTTTTTGTCAGAGGATACTTCTTGGTATACATATATAGGATATGCGGATGACATAGTCGTGTTAAGTGAAGACGCTGACCAGATGCAGTCTTTTGAACGCCATGAGTGGAGATTTGAGAACGTTTGTAATGTGTTTGCGATCATCCAAATGTGAATTGTTGCTTCAGAGGTGGTCTGTGCTGGTTTCTCGTTTAACATCAGGCAGTGAAATGTTTCAGCTCATTGACTACTCTCGTAACCTGGGAAGTTGGGTTAGGCGGATTAGGTTGGTTTCGAATTCCGCAGATCGGTTTGGGTTGGTTTCTAACTACTAGTGATGTTAAGTAGTATTAAACTGCTTTTACTGTTAATTCATCCTTTCCGTTTTATGTGTATTTTCATTTATTACTTTTTGTAATGACCATTCTACTGACTTATTTCCATTTTTTAACCAGTTACACACTTGGGTTCGTGGTTCAGACCTACTGGGTACACGTACGTTGTCATCTTTGGTACGCTTTTCCTCAATGTCAGGTCCCCTTATCCATCCAATCTCGTCTTCTTTGACATGTTTAACTGGCAATTCATCCCACAACAATGGAGATTTATTATCATTTCGTGATCAAAATCATTCATTTGGTTCACCGAGTACCATGCACTTCCTTATACTTATCGAAAATTTAAACTGTTGGCTGGGTGAAGGGAATCTGAAAGAAAACTCAACACGGGTTTCAGTTGAGTCACTTATCGACCAAGTGCCGGGAATACGTGATGAAATATCCAGTCGAATAGCAAATATTGAGGCAATTCCAAAAATAACGTTGGAGAATTTAATTCCGTATGAGTTGCCTGTCTTGTCAGAGTTGATTCTAAATATCGTGTTGAGTAGCTCACATGCATGGGAACCTGTCGAACGTGTTCTTTCGCTACCAAGAGTTAGTTCTCTGGAAGGCTTATCAAAGGAGACACGTCAACTTATGTTTCATATGGGTTTGATCAGTTTGTGGGTGATGGATAAGTTTTCCGCTCTTCTTTGTTCTCTGTTAATACAAGTGAGTTATTTTTACCTGTGTTATTCTAAACTGGTGACACCATACTTTCTCCCTTTGCAACTCTAAGTACCTTCGACTCCTCAAGTGTTGACTAACTTCCGGAAGGGCACCTGACTGACCTGGAGTACTCAGATGACATTGTCCTGTTAGACAAAAACATAATCAAACTGCAGTCTTCTGAACACCTTGAACAGAAATCTGAGTACGTTTGGCACATATTTTATGCTTTTCAAACGTGAGGTGCTTCTTAGAGACTAGTTTGTACCGTAAGTGCATAAAGTCTTTAACTGTTAGCTTGAGCTGTGTAGAGAGGTATAGACTACCTGGCTTTGAGTGTTCAAGGTAATGAGAACCAGTGTTAGAAAACTTTCAGCGATACGCTTGAAAATCGGTGTGACTCACGTACCTTGCTGCTCATTTAGTGTTCATGAAAAGATTTATGAATTACATGTGTTTTCATGTTTGTGGAATAAATTGATTGAGATCTTTCTTGATGAATCAGTCTATTTACCAACAGGTTACTTGAACATTTAACTGATCATCTCGTTATCCACTAAACCGAGATTTCAGCGGATGATTGCTATACACATGCTAATTTTATTACTATTCTGTCTGTCTACCAGGATTTCAGCAAAGATCCACCATTACCCAGGGAAAGACTGCACGTCAACCTGCATGTATAAGTCACTGTATCCGACTCCAGTATGCCTTAACAGTGGGAGTTGCTATCCTCCTCTGAAGAGTGTGAGATCATTACATTTAACGGTTCGCATGTTAACATTTGTGAGTCAAGAGTTCTTAAATTCATAACATCTTGAATGTAGCACAACCGGTTTTCATCGCTTATGAGGATTTTGAAGGTGCATTATTTCCATAAAATTTCAGTAACCTGAACAAATTATTTGATGACTTCTGTTTGAGGTTATCAAAGTATGAAGTCAGTCATTAGGTCCGTATCCACTCGGGGATTGGCATCCTGCGTGACAGTTCAAGTTGCCCCGCACCTCACATCACCACATTCGGAGTCATAGCAACAAGAGGGAAGACAAAAGAATGGAAATACCACAATCTAAGATTGTAGAGAACCATAGGATGAAAAGAAGAGCAAATAAACAAGCTACGAAATGTCACGTGGTAGTTAAGCTGAAGAAAAATTGTATAGCCATTTGGGTCACTCAAATCGATTCCGAGCCATACCAGCGACTGACATCAACTGTCTCGTCGGACACAACCTAGCAGCCCACACCCTTCTACACCGCTCACAACAGCAGTAATAGACCTGATGAACTGATGCCTCGTTTCAGTCTGACCATCCCTAACTTATTTCAAGCATAACCCCAACACCAGCTAACACCACATTTCAGGACGAACGGTGACTAAGCAAGCGTAACACATGTCACACCCACCTGTGTCGGTAAAGGTTTATAATCTCACGAAGTTCCCTACCCCACTTACCTAAGACTAAAATCTGCATCACTGAAATGGCAGTGATAGCGATGTACGAGTTACGTTGCAAACGCCATGTCGATGAAAACAATGAAAGCTTACCTGTGTTCTAAATTTCCAATTATCATGATTTAAAACCGTAGAGTCGAACAGAGTGAACTACTGTGGATTACATTTGGAAAGGGTTTGTAAAGTGAAATGTTGATTGGATTCTGGTCAGTTTTCTTTGGTTATTTGGCTATTGTATGTTCAAAACCTAGGCTGTTCACAAACATACCACATTCAAGTGAAACTCGTCCGAATTTCTGCTCGGTCACTTTATCTCGGTAACCTATATTTCAATTTTTTGAAGACTCAGTTAGTAATTTCATTCTGTTATTCTTTTACTTTAAGTGTATGCACATACTGGCCGCGAGTTCTACAGAACCGGATGGTGATGGTCAGTTAGCTCATGAAGCTGTTGAACGTCTTTTCAATAGTTGGAGTGATTTTGTTGATTTGATTCCATCATCTTCAACCGATCAATCATTTTCTCAAAGACACAATATACCAAAGGACTGTGGTTCTGACGACACTTCACCTCTACCGTTGACTACCGGTGAAGTACAGAACGCTGGTAATTCTTTCATTTTTATATGATTTTAAAGCGAATTGTTATTGTACACAAAATGTCTGACGTCAACATTGAGAACCAATAAATAATTATCTTCAGCAGGCGATATCTACGTATGAATACAGAAATAAATTTCACGTTGAAGCGGGTTATCATAATATCCCAGTCTTGTTCTCCATGACCAATATCTTCGTAATTATTTAGGGATTATAAGAAAACTGATTTCAGCAGTTTACGTTTTAGTTGAATTCTACTTAGTGCCATGCCTTTGAATAATTAATTTGCCTCCCATTTATTAATTCTGTAACTGCACGCTTTCGCGTGATCATATCCAGTATGCTAGCGTATTTACAAACCAGAAGTACTGTTGATGTATTAATTTATTTTAGCTTTTTCACATCCTCTTTCTGCTCAACTACTGAACCGTTTTAGCGAAGCTATCAGGGAAAATCAAACGTATTTAACAGTCATTGAGTTATCCGACTTAATTCTATCATTGATTTTCAGCATCATCGTAAGTTGATTAATAGCTGTTTAAGTTCTATTCAATGTGGTGACTTGTCGAGTTGGGACCTCAATGGAACTTATTAGTTTTTTGTGTATAAAAATTAATGTTCTCTTTTACAATACGCTTCAGAGCTTTCAAATAACTATGGAAATGTCAAGTGAACCAATATTCAGTAGCGGAACTAGCTAGACAGTTATCCGAAAGGGATACCGTTATTTATCTCATCTTGAAAAATCCTAGTGCTATGCCGAGTCTCTTGCGAAAACAAGGTTAGTGACCGTAACTCACCCTTAAACAAGGGTTAGAGGGCATCACTGGGTCTCAGCAGTTTTAGTCAAATTAATGGATGCAGGTGAACGCATTCCTGCAAGTTCTGAGCATATAGTGATGTGCGAAAACAGCTCAAGAGCCTAAAAGTCCCAGTCGAAATTAAGAATAGTTTTGGGAATTGGTGGCAACAGAGGTTGGGAAAACAGCAGCAGTAGGCAAAATTAAATAGTTATTTACACTGACAACGAAAACCTGGATGAAAAAGCCAATGCATAGTGAGACCATAGCGCAGAAGGATCGACGATTGGTTCACATGAGATGGAGATGACAGGAACAATGAGCGAAACACTTTGAAAGGCAGTTCAAATGACCTCCTGCTACACATCGATTGTCGGCATTTCAGTTACTCAGCAAACGAAACATTGAGATAGACTTTACAACTCCTATAGAATTTAGGAAGTTTGTCAGTAACTTGGAACGAGGAAGGGTAGTGGTAACCAATTAACTTGCACCAGAGGTATTTGAGGATGATAACTGTGGATTATTGTCGAAGCTGCCTGAAGTATTAGTTGGCTTATGGGAATCAGATATGCCTCCCTCAAATTGGTCTCATTCACAGATTGTCCCAGTTTCCAAGAAAGGAGTGAAATCCTGTCATGATAACCAACGACGGACCAGCTTGGCGAACATGTTTTCTATGATTCTAGATTTTACAGCTATCGGACGCTTAAGTGAGATTCGTGAACAGTGAACCTAGGAAAATGAATTAGATAGGTTTTGAACCTAACAAGATTTTCAACTTTACAAGGTATCGGAACACTGACCCACATAATGCATCTTAATGGTGTTTGTATTTTTCACCTGGAGGTGATATTTGACTATTTCTATAAAGAGGCCTTATGTCAGTGTCTATAACTGGATTGTGTGCTTGGTAGTTAGTTCACTCGATTGCATACTGTATTTTCGAGCTTAGGTGGCCGAGTTAGATTACGATGTGGTATCGGGAAGATATTTACGTCAGGTAGTGTTCATCAAGATTGTCTACTCTCTCCATTCTCATTCAGTTTGTCATGGATGGAGTTATGAAGGTTCCTGTGTCATCGTCTCACTTTACGAGGATTGATTCTGTTACAGGGGATTCCTTGGTTGACTTCGAGAATGTAGGTGACATAGGTCTGTTAAGTGAAGACGCTGACAGAATGCGGAGGTTTCTGGTCACTTTGAGTGGAGATTTGAGAATGTTTGGAATGCACTCATCACCACCCAAATGTTAAAGTGTTACTCCGGAAGTTGTGTGTGCTGGTGCCTCGTTTAGCAATATGGAGTGAAATGTTTGGATGCGTTGACCACTTCATCTACTTTGGAAGTCAAATCAACCAATGACGGACAAAGTCTCTGCAGAAATACAGAAGGCTCCATTAACTTCCACTAACTTATGCTATCTGTCGTAGACGGCATGATATCTGATTGTCTTTTAGAAGTTGGACGTTCTGCGGAGCATATGGTACTGTCCTACTGTATGATTGCGAATCATGATAATTGGAAATTTAGAACACAGGTAAGCTTTCATTGTTTTCATCGACATGGCGTTTGCAACGTAACTCGTACATCGCTATCACTGCCATTTCAGTGATGCAGATTTTAGTCTTAGGTAAGTGGGGTAGGGAACTTCGTGAGATTATAAACCTTTACCGACACAGGTGGGTGTGACATGTGTTACGCTTGCTTAGTCACCGTTCGTCCTGAAATGTGGTGTTAGCTGGTGTTGGGGTTATGCTTGAAATAAGTTAGGGATGGTCAGACTGAAACGAGGCATCAGTTCATCAGGTCTATTACTGCTGTTGTGAGCGGTGTAGAAGGGTGTGGGCTGCTAGGTTGTGTCCGACGAGACAGTTGATGTCGGTCGCTGGTATGGCTCGGAATCGATTTGAGTGACCCAAATGGCTATACAATTTTTCTTCAGCTTAACTACCACGTGACATTTCGTAGCTTGTTTATTTGCTCTTCTTTTCATCCTATGGTTCTCTACAATCTTAGATTGTGGTATTTCCATTCTTTTGTCTTCCCTCTTGTTGCTATGACTCCGAATGTGGTGATATGAGGTGCGTGGCATCTTGAACCGCTTCGCAGTTATGTAGGTCTGTATGTAATTTTTTTGTTTAAGAACAAACATTTTGCTTTTTCTGGTGAAATTTTTTCCACAGCTGGCATTTTGTCTTAGAGAAATGTCTCGCACATAGCTTTTTTGTTTTTTCTTTTATGGTTGCTTTTATGAGCAGTTCAATTTGTTTCGTTGTATGTTTTATTTTATCGTGATTGGTTTGTTCACGTTGTTAGGAATTTTAAGTTAAATGATACTATTTAAGTGGTTGCGTCTTCGAACCGGTTGTAGTCACCGTCCTTGGAAATAACTTAGCTAGCGGAAAGAAAGAAGAAAATATGCGTAGGAAGTTTGAAAAGTGGTAAATGAGAACGAAAATTCTGAATCGGAAAGTAAACTGTCTAATGCATATAATTGAGGCTTTAAGTTGTTACTTGGTCATTTTTCGAATCCAGTTTACAAGTTTTATGCTTCTTGTTGCACTCTTTTAGTATCTGTATTCTGTTAGTTTATTTACTGTCTATAGGCAATAAATTCGTTTTATGCTATTTTCTCTCGATAGAATTTTCTCAGAGCTTCCAAGACCTCTGTTTCTGTGAGAATGGTTCTTGTGGATTATCAGTAGATAAAATACTCAACCCATATCGTATCTATGTTTTTTTTTCGCAATTGATATACGAGCTCCAAAATCCTTGCGGTGATTTTTTTTTTTACGCTTCTCTAATTTTCTACTGCCACCTATGTGATAAATGAGTCTTATGTGGGGTATTAGATTAAAATCTTACCATCTAATTTCTGTGTCTAGAAGTCACATTAACTACACTAATACTTAGATGTTTTTATCTTCATATAATAATTATAGATCAGTTGGCTGAGCAAATAAAAAGCCTCCTGAGGATGTTGAGGAGTAGTAATAGTGTACGACAGTCTCAGTTATTTCAAATTTTTCTTGCATCAAAAATGGCTCAGCCGGTTGGATTACGTCGAATTTCCGCCAACGATGATAATGAAGAGATAAATCTTGAGTTAGATGAAGACGATATGACTGCATCAGAGGTAATTTCTTAGTTTTTGTTTTACTGGTTTGGAAATTTAGTTCCAACCCTTGTGTTTTACTGGTCTATTTCTTGGTATATTTTGAAAAAGGATGACATAATTAGTCCTTCTTTAATTCAATAGTGTAATGCCCATAGCTGCAATTACCTGAGTTTATAACGTTGCCACTAGGTTGCATTGTTTATATGTTGACTTGATTACAGCGGTCAAACTTTATTTATTTTAACGGTTTTGTGATTGTTCAATAATGATTTTCAAGACATTTTCAGATATTTTAGTAATAATTAAGTTTTAAGTATTGTCATACTTATGTTCTCTATATTGGATTTTATGTTCTAACCGTTTTGTGAGAGCATTTCAGTCAGAATGTTTCCACTCAATTAAGTATACAAGCTACATTTACGAAGAATGAAATCCAGTGTATTTTCATTCCACAGTTAAAATAAGCTTAGTTGTTTAACTTTGTAATACTGTTGAAAATGAACTTCTCTTACCGCTTTGTATTTCACTTCCACTGTCTTGTACATATCCCAAACGTTTTTGTTTTGTTTCCCTCAAATATATTCGATTACCTTTTGATTGCATCATCATTCATGAAGTTTGACAGTTAAAGTTAAATTGGATGGCGTCTGTTTATAAGCTGCCGTATGTGATGATATTTTTGTTAGATCATTCACCTTTTTGCGATATTTTTTTGGTCTGAAGAAGAGGAAAGTAAATCGATGAGGTTGTGAACATTTATCGGTTCAGGTGACTGAGAGATATGTGCTACTCATGTCTTATCACTGTCCACCTCATTGCACAGTGTTGGCTGAAGTAGGTTCAGGCTGAAAAAAGGTTACAGGTGACCAGGCTAGAACGTGACATCACTTCATAAAGCCGTTGATTGTTGATCTGAGCTGTGTATGGAAATGTAAACTTCCCAGTTGGATCCTCACGATAACAGAAACCGATTGCTGGACACTCAAGGCTCAGAATTGATCTAAATGATTCAGATATATCCACACATTAACCTCATCTTGATCATCATACTGATTTCAGTGTTTACTTATTCCTCCTATTTTTCTTATCACGGCTTTTTTTTAACCACCGTTGGCTGCTTTCTTTCCTGTTTCTTTATTTTTTGTCTTGATACCTTCTGACTTGATGTACCGATATGAAGTGGCAACTTGGACCATCACTCAGTAATTCTAGATCCCTTCTTTGTCTTGAATCCAGCTCATAGCTCTATGTGAGTGTTTTCCATTCCCACTGATGAGAGGCTAGTCTAGTGGTAGATGACACCACATAGATTTCCCTATAATTTGAAGCGTTTCAAAGTTCAACTTCCATTGGCGTGTTGTGCACTGTAAATTTAATATTCAAGCTTCAACACACCGAAGCAAAAATAATGTGTTATCTACGATTGAATACCCCTCAAGTTATATGGTATGCAACTAGTGTGTCTTTTGACACTATGATTTGTTGATAGAAGTTGTATTTCCTCGACTGTTTGTGTTTTTATATAAACCTTATTGACTTATCAAACCCTCCTACCTAAAAACTTTTTTTTATGGACCTATAGTGAAATAGAGGGGAAACAGCAATTCGTATAGAATACTGGAAATTTATTTTGTTCCAGGAGTTTATATATATCCATTTTTTCGGCTACAGTACTTAGTTTTTCTCAGTATTTCAGTCTGTAATAGTATAAAGTTTTGTGGGATTTATGTTTGCTTGAACTTTGAAAATGCTGTATTCACAGTCCAGACACTGTTATTTATTACTGAAAATATAGCTGGTTTCCTGCAAATTATAAAAAAATTGGTTATATTATTTATGTATGATATTTATCCATTAGTATTTTAATTCCTTTTTTTGCACTCAGATTCTTTTTTTCTCCTGTTTTACAGGATAGTTTGTTCACTGCGGGTTCATGTGGTTTAGCTAATGCAGAAGAATCAGTCACTGCACTTGTTCGCTTGTTAAATGAACGTGTTACTCAGTTAGTCCATTTACAAAACTGTGAATTTGATGCATCAGTCAACTTGTTCGAAGATCTTCATTGGCTTTTATTGATTACTGGACATGTCTTGGTATCTGGTCCTGCGTCACTGACTAGTGTATTACGAATCGGTTGTCCTTGGGATACACAGTTTTCTGTAAGATTTTTAAAAATCTTCATGGGTATTGTTCTCTAACAGTATGTGCAATAATACTGGATATTAAGTTAGCACTAGGATATTGTTAACTACTTACTAATAAAATTTATTGTAAATGCTGGAGGACGCATCAGGATACACTTCGATACTTTTTTCCTCTAACAAGTATTGTCAGTTATCATGACAAACTGAAATTTCACACTAAAACACACCAGGGAACAGTTCTTCGTATAGGAAATTCCTGGAGAAAGTTACTTTTGCTTGTTGTGGAGCGTCAGTTCATGAAGTTTCTGATTCTTGGTCAGACCTGTGTCGTGAAATGTAGTCTTTGGTGTTTAGGTTGTTGCGATATTTGACGTTGGTGGTTGTGTAGAGGAGTGCTGCGGACGCATCCAAGCATTGTCTTCATCTTAGTTCTCATATTAATATCTCTTTAACTTACATCTTATTGTTCTCTTATCACAACCTGCTTCCTTTTTTTTGATTAATTTATCCCTTATTTCCCTGTGTTCCATCTTTCAATCAACTATTTAGATGTACTGATGTAGAATGTTGCGAATGAAGCGTTGGTCAGCAATGTCATGTCTCAATTTAGTCTTGATATGCTGAGATATTGATTGCCTGTTTTCGGCATATGAGTGTATTCAAAGCGATATAAGAAATTTATTTCGCTGAAAGGTCTTCAATTTATCTAATGGTACTAAGCGTACGCGCGTAGTTGCTGATATCTATTTTTCTCCTAGAAATTACGTTTCATGATAGCGAACTGCGTTTGAAAATAAGAGAAATCTTTTGTGATAACCATAAGGGAATTAGTCTGACTAATGCCATGTCTAAGATCCTAGGATCCTTAGTTATTCAACGCTTACTGGAGCTTGAGAACAGCAAACTCAAAAAAATCACGCCAAGATTGTATCGATCATATTTTCACCCTCGGACAGGTTCTGGAATGCAGGCATAACTACCAGCCAATAGCCGACACTCGGCATATTTCCTGACTCGAAGGTGGCATTCGACTGTCGACCTTGAGATGTTGTTGCAGTGTCTGACTGTAAAAGGCGTACTGACCAAGTGCATAACGTTATCCGAAGCTCTTAAGTAGTGTTGTAAGACCCCAGTTTTGTATAAAACATTGTTATTGATCTGAACATTTTAACGTGTCATTCCCACACCATTTTTTATGGTATGACTAGGAGCCTATTTCCTGCCCCCATTGTAATGTAAATCGCTGATTGGTTAATCTCACTCTTACTACGCCTGTGCCTCAAATTGAGGACGAGGTCACTTTTCATGTGTGTACTTATTCACGTGTTTTGGGATTGGTTCATGATGATATTCTCGGAGTAATAAACTCTCCCATCATCCAGCTTCGGTCTTCTCTCTATTCGTCCCGGGGTTGCAGTCAGTGGCTCTTGCGTACTAAATTAGCTGTCACCTAAGGGTGCGTATTATATTCGTTCGGAATATACAACTATTAGCGTTCGAAAATATAACAAGTAGGACTCAGGCAGCCATGTAAAGTATTATGGAGATATATCTTCAGAATTGACGACAGCCAGTGGTGTTCGACAAGGATGTCCACTGTCACTGTCCTATTTAACTTCGTCATAGACGTACTAATGGAGATAACCTTAGGTATGTCTGACTTTACAGCGACTGACCTCTCTGTAGGTCATCTGGCTGACAGACGATATTGTCCTGGTGGGTAAAGACACTGACATAATGCAGACAGGGTGTTGTGGACACGTTGTGCAGAAATCTGAGTATGTTTAACATGCGTTTCTCTGTCACTTGTCAGATGTAAGATGATGGTCCATGACTGGTCTACTACAAGTACTCCCAGTTTAATGGTAGGTAGTGAAGTAGTGGAATGTGTTGACCACTTCACTTACCTGTGGAGTTGCATTGCATCCACAATCAGAGAGGCCAAAAGAAAATCCTTTCACTTCTACCAAGTGAACTGAAAATATTTCTCCTTCTCGGCGTCCAATGTTGAGGTTGGATTAGAATTCTAGCTTTCCATGGATACGTCTGAATAACTTAGTTTTTTTTTCTTTCACTTTTTCAGATTCCTTACCAAATCTTATATTTAGGTTCCAACGATACAGTTGACACGGCCAAAAGTCGTCGCCTAATTTTGTTGTCTGTTTCTCAAACTCCTGACCTTGGTGTTAACTGGTCTCCTGAGAATTTGTCATACAATCATATTCCTCCTCTTGTAATGTACGTTTTTTAATGCTCATTTTTATAATTGATAAGTTACTTTTTGATCATTATTAAAACGCACCTCCTGGATTTCACTGGTAGTCACTATCCATTATTACTATAAAACTGAAATTACCGACAATATTGAAGCATCCTTACAGGATCCTTTATGTCAATAGCGACCGAATAATTTGGTCCAATCAACGACGAAAAATCACAAACTGTAACTTATTTTGACTGAATGTTTATCACTCTTTAAACAGTCTATGACGTTTCTGAAAATTTAGTGTTATCCTATAAGAAAAACTCATCCTTTTGAATTCATCATGCTTGGTGAATGTCTAGTCGCCTTTATAGTCGTGATCCTACTCAGAAATAACTTCAACGCATTAAGAGACTGAATAATTCCTGGGGGTAGAAATCTTTGAAGTCAAGCATCTGCTAAGATCATTATTTCATTTCCCAGGCAGCAGAACAAACGGAGACGATGAATGATAACTTTTGAAGGGGTTGCAGATTACTATAAATATTTTTGGAACTATCTGTATGATTTGAGATATGAGCCATCAGGGAAACGAGTTTTGTGGATCTGTCTATGTTTGAAAAGTCTCTTAATTACGAATAAGCATGCTGTAAGACTTCTTAAATTTGTGCAGTTATGTTGTTCAGTAACAGTAAACATCTGACCGTCTCATGGGTTGTTTGCGGTGTCATTTCACTGTTGAAAATATCATCGGTAAATTGCACCCAGTGATGATTTAGATTGATAGAAACACTATGAAAATGAAAACTTTTGTAGAAGTGATTTGGTTTGGAAGATTTCTGACTCAAGTTGTTGGTCCTAGGATGTCATTGGTTTACCGCTTCATGAACGTTGGCAAGCCGTAGTTGGCCTAGGATGTTTCCACTGAACATACAGACCGATAAAATCAACGTAGAACCTCGCACACAGGTTCATTGGTGCGAGTTGCTACACTTTACAGTAGTATACAAATAACTAATGGACAAAAAAAGACTGATATCAAAGTAGACAATGGTATGTGGAAAGAGAAAGAGTTTGGAAATGAAAGTTAGTGAGAATATTCAAGCTTTGGAAGACATCATTGTCACTGATTTCCAGCTACGTCGCCAGAGGCAGATCTCCAACCACTCAAAAGTATCATCTAAAAAACCTCAACCAGATAGTCTACACCTCTCTACACGGTTAAAGACCAACAGTCAGTCACAGACCTCATGTATTAGTGCCATGCCCTGATCTGACCACTCTGAGCCTCCTTCCAAATTTATCCTGCTTCTCTTACCATCGCACTTCGAGACTGGTGCTAGTTTGGTATGCTCACCACATGCTCAAGACAACTCAGTTGGTCAAGCACTCCAACACCATCGACCAACTAGTCGGTCTTGCTTAGCGTCCTTCAGCAAACATCGATATAACAAACAAAATGCACTCAGCAACCTTGTGCACATTCGTGCAGTTGGCAATGAGCCACATCTAATATGTGACGACTACTGATACCATACCAACCGACAGTCCAAACTTTGGTAGGCTGAGCAGGACGTGAACTCATGACCCACTGGTTGGAAGTCATCTTCCTAAACCAATCAAACATAGCTCGAATCTCGGTAATAATCACACGGTGATTCTACCATGCATAGACAATGCTACAAAGACCTTCAAAGACAATATCTCACAACCATAAGGCAGGACAGGACGAATCGCAGCGCAGTATACTTCTTTCATAAGGAGACAGACACACACTGCTGGTCGGTGCCAGAGATTGTGAAAGTAGGTGAGTATCAAACGAACATTCTGTATCCCAGCCGAGATTTCGTCAGAAACCGACCGAATTGATTGAAAAAGGGTAGGTAAGATTAGAAGTTATGGATGTGGAAGGTGGACAGTCATCTATAGAAACTTTAGTGCGTACAAAATTGTGAAGTTGGGTGACACTTCCCTACTACCTACACCGTAGAAGGCTATTTCTTCTTGAGGTGTCTGAAGAAGAAGGGTAGGTGCGTGACCACATAGCCCAAGAAACATCTGCTTCGGATCGGTACATATGGAATTTTTAGAAGTTTGAAGTTTAGTTTGTTTTGTGCAAACCAGACAACGAGCCCTCATATCGCCGACACGGGGTAAAAGAGAACATACTGTTCTTGAGGCTGACTCGCCATTCTTATGGGGAAGTCACCAATGGCACTGCTGGTCATCTGTGAGAAACGCTTTACTGCTATCACATCGCCGTCGAGCCAGTAGTACTACTTTGCCTTTTGATCCCCATCATAGCGTAATATTTTACACTATGACTGTAACTGCTTTTTGTCTTACCATTGTCCAACGAACCTTTCTGGTGTGGTAGGACCAAGCGTTCCACCAGTATAGCTCGGGTTGTGATATGGAATACCGTCAGCTGCGTCAAGGTAGCAGCTCTCGATCGGGACTTTGCATACATATGTACATATGTTCCGATCCTACTAACATTGCTTCCGAAATCAATAAACATCATTCACTTGACTTCAACATTTTCACACAGTGCCTTTTAGATGGATCTATGACTGGATTAAGTAATATAGAATGATTTTGAAGATGTGTGCATCTTACTAAGACACTGGATTTGTTATATGTTATTCAGACAGCATGTTTCGAATTAAACGTATAAAACTTTGGTTATGTGGTGCTTCGTGATTCCATTTCGGTGTGTTTATTAGATATATCACAGTGAAGCAGTATTAATTTCTGAATCATGCTTTGTACATGATTTATTTTCCATAAATATAACACAGGTTCACTTTGTTCTACATCTAATAAACAAACAAAAATGGTTTAATATTTTTCAAAATGTGGCAAATCGAGGTGACATACTTCCACACACGGTCCTGCATTGACGTATCTCTCTGTTTCTTTTGTAATGTAAACTGATCTATTTAGCATGCTTTTGGATGAACGCTTCACAATATTGTTTTGTGATTTATTGAATTACTTAGATTACTACCTAGGTAATGGAATCAAGGCAGGTGGTTTTTATTAGATCCCAACCCCTATGAATTAAAGTGTAGGAAAAACACCAGGGGAAGAGCATCAGGCGCTGCAGTCGTATTATTATCGGGGATCTTATTTGGTTCTTACTTCAGTCATTTGTTCAGGCTCCTGGAGCCCATCTGCACCATTAGTTTGAAACCAGAGTTTGCCTAATACACTGCAAGCCGTTGGTAGGTATCGAACATTCGCTTTTACTTGTCTGGTGACGCTCTGGTTACGCAAACGCAATGAATGAGACTTCCATGGGAGGGACTATAAAAGTGTAGCTTTATGTGAACATTATAAGAAGAAGAATGATCTCAACCCATCTTAAGCCTACTAACTATCGTGTACTTATCAAACAAATACATGGTTACTCTGTCTTGTTCTTATGCTTCCAGCCTACCCTTCTTCTAGTGAAGATTGTGAATCTAAGTGAACGATTACTTTGCATACTGCCTATACCTCCTACTCACTTCAGTTGTTGACTTATCTATTTCTTTTACGTGATGATTACAACACAGGCAAGGAACTCTTACAAGGATTACTTTATCGACTATCAGCAGCTTTTTCCTGCATTTCACCTTCTGTATCCTTGGGTTATTCACTAGAAGAAAGCATCATTCTGTTGTGAGCAAATTGAATCTATTTATTCACGTTGATTGATCACTGCAGGGTGATCAACTTCAGGTTATCTTATGCTAAGTGCTGATCGAATTCTATCCATCATTTTGAAGTGTGGCCACCACCCTAGTTAACTCAACACTGGAATGTACAGAACTCTGGGGTACGGTGCATGGACGTATTACAGGAGTTTTTAACACAACCATTGTCTTTTGAGAAGCATATAGTAATCTATTCACTGTAATGCATCCTCAAAATGACTTTCATCAATGACCTTCATTTTCATTCAATGTTTGGTTCACGACCATGCTTACTTTGACTACATTGCGTAAGTTAGTTGACCGCGTCACTTGTTCGTACAGCTATGTCATATCTGTGGTGTTGTTGAATGACAGAGTTCCCATCTCAACTTATCTTGCATGGTTTTTCATATCTTTTTATTTCATCTGTTATCTTTCTTTCGTCTTGATCCAAAAGCGATACAATTTCTTCTTTTCATGGAGTTGCAACGTGTACTGTTACTAATGCCTATGTCACCGAAAATCTCAGCGCATTTCAAGTTTGAACATTCTTACTCAAACAAATAAGTACTTTTAATCATTGTTAATGAGTTGTTGAAAATTGTTCACTTGAATTAATCTATAATATATTTTTTTTCTATAGCTTATTGTGTTCACTCTTTCGTCTGCTTTGGTTACAAGTGGCTTATGCTGTTGGAAGTGCTCAGTTAGTTGCAGATAATTTCTGGCTAGTAACTCGTTTGGCAGCCACATATTTTTGTCATAATGTTGTCGATAGAGATACACTAATGGTTAGTAATGCACATTGGTTTGTTAACATTCTTCATTTCCTCCTTATTATTTACAAAAAACATACGGAAAACAAACGTTTATACGGGAAAAATGACCACTTCTTATCCTATCACGAAGGGTTTCTGGTTTTGTTTTATTTTTTGTGATAGCTGACTAGTGAAATCAACATAACTAAGGGATTCAACATGGAAATCATTAATCTTTCAGTCTATGTAAACACGCGACAGAAATCACTTCGGTTTAACACATTTATTTAGAACATATGATACATGACAAAGATATAAGCGATTCAAAGAAGGACTAACTTCTGATCGACAACGAAAAACTTTATGGAATGATGTTACTTCAAACGTATCTGGAATGCCTTTGTTTCGTAACTGCAGTCATCGTAATCCAAAGTACTCAGTCCTAGATTCAACTCACATGCTGATTCTACATCATTTTATGTTGTGCATTCTATATTTCACTAATAGTTTACTTTAATTATCGAGCATATTGATTATTTTTCTTTTATAAATGCTTACCTCTTGCCTTCTCATACAGTCTAACATTTCTCGATCCCCAATCCTGACAATATTACAAGCTGATTCAACACAGCCACCACCAGCACATCAAGGTTTACTGACAAATCAAACCTCCTCACAGGAAAATAAACTGTCTGATGGGAAAGAAAATCTCTCTCCAGAAGGTAGTGAAGATACAAACCGAGCATGCATTCAAGGTTTACTTATGTGTGCCCGTTTAGCGTTAGATAAATGGTCCCATGAACCTCAGGTTCTTATTGGATTAACTCGACTATTGAGTGTGCTAAGTGTGCATTCGCCTAATCCGTAAGTAGCAATACTTGTGCTTGCATTTTTATACCATTGACTTTTTCATAGTTATTTAATGTTATGTGTGGAGTTGAACTACTTCTCATTTTAGTGTGCTTTTGTTGATCATTTTGAAATACTGTCCATCTCAACCTAGATTTTTACATCAAACAGGAGAGTAGACTGCAATTCATCAGCTGAAGGTCCCACTGTATTGCTCTTTATTCTGAACTGGGATAGATATATGATACCTTGGTGACTGAAATTTATTAAATGTAAGTCAGTGTAGTATCTCAAGACCCTTTGGGCTATTGAATGCAAGTTAGTGTTTATTGGGAAAATATACTCATTTTAAATAATCTTTCGAAACCCAGTTTTACTGCTTCATTATGAGTACCAACCATTCCAAATGTGGGATCCTTTTTATCCTTTCTTACAAACTATTAACTGAGCCACCGGCCTTCTTCTGGGACTTTTAAATATCCAGGCAGAGTAGTTTTACCATAAGGTACGTAGGCTGGGAAATTTCCTTACAAGTATTTGAGATTTAAACTGTATTTAGCATTCGCTTGATGATGGTAAGTGATCGAATAATCGTTGTGTTCATTTTCGAGATTTTGAGCAATGTGGGTTGGACTAAGACATTGAAACCTGAATACGGTATGTAGCCCGATAAAGCTGTCCAATGATCGCCGACCCACAACACTTTGCCAGTTGATATCCTTCTGTGATGAAAGTTATTTTGTGGTACTTATGGTGTGTCAGTTACTTGTAAAAATTGAAATCGAACAATGATATTGACATTTTCTTTGATAGGTCATCAAACTTGGCGTGTTCAGCATGGTACGATATATGCACAATTGTCTGTGGTCCTCGAGCTTCAGAACATGCGTGGCCTAATTTACCAACTGATAGCTTGATTCAGTTAGTTGAAGCCTGTTTATGTGGTAGTTGGGCGATTGACAAAGCTCGTCTTTCTTCGGTATTGTCTCAGCAGCACCAAACGCATCAGGAGACTGACACGTTGTTACTTCAGGTATGTTTTTTCGTATAACTACCTTCAAAACTACTAATTATTGATAAAGAAGCTGCATCTGGTTGTCAATCCTCTTTCTTGTCGTGAAGCTTTGTAACATGACTTTTTCCGGGTTTCGATTTTAACCAACTACTTTTTATTTGAGAATTAACTTCGAGGTTTCTTGTAACTGGTAATGATTGTTGGTTTCTATTGGAGAAGGCAAGGGTATCCGTTTCGTCGTATTCAGCACTCGTCAGGTGCATATATGTGCTTTTCAGTGGGTGGTGTTGTTCCTTCCTTGATTCGAACCCACAACTTACTTCTTAAAACCCTGGAGCGTTATTCACTAGGCCATTGAGTCACACTAACTACTCCTTATGCTATGGATGTTGTTTTGGTGTTAATGGCTTGTAATTCCCCGCCGTTAATTTTTCCGAATTGATCAGTTTCACTTGGTACATTGACTTCTAGGGAGATGCCTCGATATTGCTAGTAACTTCATTTAGATATTATTCACAGATAGTGCCTAACAGTGGAATCAAAGATTTGCGTTTCGTTTGTTGTAATTGGGTTGAATGACACCGGTTTGATGTTTTAGAAGCAACTCATTTGACTTTGGTTGGAATCCGGGTTTTATTCCATTTTCTTTCCTTGCAAATCAAAATTTATTGACCGTATTTGTTTCAAATGTTATCAGTTGAAATGGTTAATCCTACTAATCGTTTTTCTCTCATCTAAATCACAGATGCTTCGTGAGATTCGGGAACATGTTCTTCATGTCATCAATAATGTTTCAGGTGATGGTGTTTCATTTGGTTCACCTCAAAATGCCTTGGCTATAGATGTTTTGGTTAACTGTACTTCAGTATTAAGAGGTGTAGCACGTGCCATAGGATCATTTGCATCTAACAGCGAAGCAGTAACAGATTTGATTTCTTTGGTCTGGAATGGACTTTTGGGTCCGTTTCTCTCACATGGAGCAAGTTATTTGGTGCTGGTAAGATCATTACTGTTTCACATAATTTTCCTTCTTTTCTTAGTAGTTAGTAGATAGACGTCATACTGTAAAATAACCTGACTGTGAGGTAATTTTGTCGATGCATGTAAGGATTTTTCATCCACAAATTCCCGTTTGTAAATTTGAAAAGAGGAAGAATAACCATGGGAGCAGGATAAAACTGATCCCTTCTATTTCGGTGGTATCTTATCAACTGCTTACAACCTAAAATATCGGAATATACAGTTTCGCTGGAAATTTACCATACTTGAAAGAGAACAGACGGAAATGTTCATAGATTAAAGATCATTCATAACGGGATTTTCAGGGAGTTAACAAATGGTTATAATTGCATACATAATCTAAGGGAAGTTTCTCGAACAAAATGAGACCAGAGTAGTAACCGAAATATTGAGGGACCTGCCGTTACAAGATTACGTAATTTGATCACAGGATAAATCAGCAATATATTGTGAGTTAAGCTCAGTTTGTTAAAACACGATATGAACAAAAGATGACACAACTAAGTAAGATTGAAGAAACAAACATCTAAGTTTGATGAGGGATGATGTAATCACATAACGGTCAAGATGAATTACCAAGGCGAACAGAGGCTGACTATCTTTTATTTTCGGACACAAATCGGGTTTGAGGCGTTTAATAGCTATTATTATTATTATTATTAGTCCCTTGGGTTCCTAGTGGAACATAGGGCTTCAGTAGCACGCCTCCAGTGACCTCTGTTCTCTGAGATCTTTTGAACCTGGTCCCACGACAGCCCACAAGCTCTCATTTCCTCCTCGCACGACCTCCTCCATGTCACCCTTGGACGTCCAACTCGTCGCTTCCCATGGGGATTCCACTCGAGGGCCTGACGCGTGATGTCCTCAGTCGGCCTTCTCAGTGCATGGCCAATCCATCTCCACTTCTTCCTGCATATTTGTTGCGTGATAGGTTCTTGGTTGGTTCGTTCCCAGAGTTCCTTGTTGCTTATTTTTTCTGGCCATCTGATCTTCAGCAGCGAGCGTAAGCAGTTGTTGATGAATGTCTGTAGTTTATTGGAAATACCTTTCGTGACGCGCCAAGTCTCTGAGCCATACAAGAGCACTGACTTGACGTTGGTGTTGAAAATCCGTATCTTGTTCCGCATGCTGAGTGCAGAAGATCTCCACACTGGTTTCAGGCTAATGAACACCTGTCTTGCTTTTCCGATTCTGACTTTGACGTCCTCGTCCGTCCCGCCTGTAGTTGAAACAGTGCTTCCTAGATAAGTGAAGGAGGTTACTTCCTTTAAGTTTCTCCCGTTGACAGTGATTGGAGTTTGTTGTTGTTGTTGTTGATGGTGGTGGTGCGGTATCTTCATCACTTCTGTCTTCTCTATATTCACCTGAAGTCCCGTCTTCGCTGCCTCTTCTATCAACTTGTTAGTTTTTGCCTGCAGATCTTCAAGTTTATGTGACATTAGGCATAAGTCATCGGCGAAATCCAAGTCTTCTAGGTTCTTTTCCGTCGTCCAGTGTATCCCCCTCTTCTCGCTGCCTACTGTTTGCTGCATGATCCAGTCCACCACAATCAGGAATATCATGGGGGATAGTAGGCAACCTTGTTTCACTCCTGTCTTCACTTCAAAGGCATCACTGAGCTTCCCATTGTGGATTACTTGGCATGTAGCATCTTCATATAGTTGTTGAATGAGGCGGATAAAGGTTTGCGGTACTCCGTAGTATTGAAGCAGTTTCCAAATTACTTCTCGGTCGACGCTGTCAAAGGCCTTCTCAAAGTCGATGAAGTTGAGGTGGAGAGGTGATTGCCATTCTATGCTCTGTTCTATGATGATACGAAGCGTTGCAATTTGGTCTGCACATGATTTGTACTTCCTGAAGCCTGCCTGTTCCGGTCGTAGTTTTGAATCCAGTGCATCCCTTAGCCTCTCCAGGATGATGCGGCTTAATATTTTACTTGGGGTGGACAGGAGAGTGATTCCGCGCCAGTTCTTGCAAGCACTGAGGTCTCCCTTCTTCGGCAGTTTGACAAGGTAACCCTTCTTCCAATCGTCAGGTACCTTCTCTTCCTTCCACACCTTCTGCAATAGTGGTGTGAGCATGTCCGCTGTTGTCTCTGCATCTGTTTTCAGTGCTTCTGGCGGTATTCCATCTGGTCCTGCTGCTTTCCCACATTTCAGTAGCTTTATGGCGTTCAGGACTTCCATTTTCGTTGGGGGATTAATGTTCACTTGTAGTTCAGCGGCTGCAGGTGGTATTTCTGGACGAAGTGCAGGTGGTGGTCGATTCAAGAGCTTCTTGAAGTGGTCGGCCCATCGTTTCCTCTGTTTCTCTTCTTTTGTAATTAAATTTCCTTCTTCATCTTTTATTGGTTTCATCTGTGTTGGTCTCTTCCCTGATAGCAACCTGGTTATTTGATACAATGTCGTCAGGTCTCTCTTACCTGCAGCCTGTTCTGCTTCACTTGCCAGTGTTTCGTAGAAGTGTCTTTTGTCTTTGCGTGCACTCTTCTTCACTTCTTTGTCCAGTGTTTTATACATTGTGCTCAGTTCCTCTTGTCGTTGAGCATCCTTGCACTGGTTTATCTTCTGCTTCACCATCCTCCTCTCCTCTATCAGCTTCCAGGTATCTGTCGAGATCCATTCCTTGTCTTCTTTCTTCTTCCTTCCTAATACTGTTGTGCAGGTTTCTTTCCACATAGCTTTCAAAGACTTCCAGTGTTCTTCCACACAGGTTTCTTCAGGGATGTTGCTCCGCCGTCTCCCATTTTGTCTTGATGGCTGCCTTGAAGATCTCCTTTGTAGTTTCATCCTTCAGTTTCCGAGTGTTGTACTTGGGTTGAGGTCTATCACCAGCTTCCTTGAAGGCTTTTAACTTGATTTGGAAGGTTCCTTGCACTAGGTAGTGGTCTGAACCTACATCTGCTCCTCTTCTTGACCTTGTGTTAAGTAGACTGCGTCTCCATTTTCTTGAGATTGAGATAAAGTCGATTTGATTTTTAGTGTGTCCATCTGGTGAAATCCATGTCGCTTTGTGGATATCTTTGTGCCTGAACACACTGCCTCCAATCACCAAATCGTTGAATGCGCAGAATTCTGCAAACAATTCTCCATTCTCATTCATTTCACCTAGTGCCTCTCGACCCATGGTTAGTTCTCTTCCCGTGTTGTCCCCTCCCAGTTTGGCATTCATGTCGCCCATCAGAATTTTGATATCGCCAACTGACGTCTTGTCCAGTGTTGATTGAAGTTGTCTGTAGAAATCCTCCTTTTTCTCTTGCTCTGCATTATTTGTAGGTGCATAACATTGTATGATTGTGACCTTTCTTCCTTTTGAGTTGAATCTTGCTGTCATGATCCTGGAGGAGATTGGTTCCCACTGCATGAGAGCCTTCGATGCTCTTGAGGACATCATGATAGCCACTCCCTCAGTGTGCTCGTGGTTGGCGTCTGGGTGACCGGAGTAGATTATTGATTCTCCAGTTGACAGTTTGGAGAGTCCACTCCCATTCCATCTGCTTTCGCAAATCCCAAGCACTTCGATGTTATACCTTCTCATCTCCCTTGCAATCTGGGCTGCCTTACTGGGTTCAAACATCGTGCGGACATTCCATGTCCCCACGTTTACTTTCGCTTTCATCGAGAGAAGACACATCGGCCAATTGGCTTCCCGAAGGCTTTCACCAACTGGCGTCATTTCGCCTCTCCGATTCCAGCGGGGAATAAGTTTGTTTTCATTTTTTATATTTTGTTTGTGCTTTGAAGTTTCTTTAGCGGTTAGATTTGTTTTACGGGGTAGGGTTGCTAGCCCTATGCCCAACCTTCCCTCTTTACCCGGGCTTAGGACCGGCTAGTAACTAGTAAACTAGTTAACCAGGCGAGGTTCGTTTAATAGCTATGGCTTTAGCAAACTTCAATAGTATCGGACTCATTTTTTTTATTATGTTCAAGGAATTGAAGACACCTGTTTGATGTTCACTATTAATCAGATTCCGAGTGATTGTTACTCAATTTGCATGGTTATGAGAATAGTCCCCTTATTTTTTTAAAAATAAGTTGTTCCTATTGGTCTTAACTGTTTTTCACCTGCACATCTTACTATTTATAAATTTGAATTTACTGTTTTTTTTTTACCTTTTCGTACCCCTTACGAGGACTGAAATCCATGTTAACGTCAGACTTAGTACTAGCGCACTGTGACTTCAGTATGTTAACAATAATCGCCTCTGATGCTTCTGCTTATCATAGGTGTAATTCTCTATGTTTTTCCTGATGGCAACGAAAACGGTATAAAGCACACCGAACACTGCGGATTATAGGTACAGTCAAATAGAAAAGAAAACATTTTCCCTGTCTTTCATGATACATCAAAGCTTTCACATTGCCTACCGATCGTAAACAGTTCTTATCAATATGCGATTTGAATTTAGGAATCTGATCCCACAGCGAACGGATAATAATGACGAACACTATGTTGATTTAACATTGACATATGCATGAATATGGTCAAGCGAATGGATGTTTCGATCGGATAAGTCGATGGTCAATCTACAGAAAAGCAACTTGGACAGATTTTTTGCCTTTAGTCCTACGCAACTTCAGCGAGGTTTGATAAAATACTTATTGTAAGTGGTCCAGTTTGTTTGTACGAAGGCCCAATGAATGATGACACCGAAACACTAACTGAGACATTAATAGAAAATGGATATCCACTGAAGATCGTAAGCCGTTGTCAGAATCATCCAATATTGAAACTCGCTCCGTATTCTGTTCTGAAGGTAGAGATTATATCACACTTCCATGCGGACGGGAATTTTACAATTTAATTGTGGTACGAAGACCAGGGCTCGCCATCAGTGAGACATACTTTGCCTCTAGGTTAATCGTAATTGAGAAAACGAAATACATTTTTCACCACATACCTCATCACTATAAAAACGATTGAATTACATCCTTCTGCAGTACCAGTTTACATGTGTGTGTGTGTGTGTGTGTGTGTGTGTGTGTGTGTGTGTGTGTGTGGACACATACAAAGAGAGGACCAATCAAGATATCCACTCTAGGGTAGTGGAACATACACCAAAATGGCCTACAAAAGCAGCTGGATTCACAAACATTGAAGGGTGCAGGTGCAAAATACATTATTGATTAAGGTCACAGGTTTGGGATTAAAGTAGCCATTGCAATATTGTATAGAAACTGTCAGGGGGGTATATGCTTAAATTTGTCGAAGCGTTAGCGGTAGACAAATTAAGATTACCCTTGGATGTTGAAAAGTTGCATATCCTTACGCTAAACATACCGTGGTAATATTTATTTTATCCTATTACCAAGGTTTGTCTTACCATTCATTACCTTTCTTATTATTATATTCCTTATTTGTTCTTCTTCTATCTCGCTTTTTCATATGAAATGTCTTCGTAAATAAAAATGTGATTAGATTGTTCGAAATGTATGATACAAATACATCCTATTTTTAAGATAAACTACATCTAATTACGTTAACCAAACCTTTCTCTATGTTTGTTTTTGTCCATAGAAATGTCACAGTTACACGGAGGCAGTGCAAGCTTTATTCTCTTTGTTCTCAGATGTAGCAGATTCCTGTTTAATTTATTTGGCTAGTCTACCATCATCATCTTTAGATGATTCCACAAGTGCACATTCGTCACAGGTGGATAAAAATGTGAATGGATCTACTGCTGTCTATGCGTCTAGCTCATTTTTAAATTGGATAGTTATTCTATGTAAACACTATACAAAGAACAATGAAGGTGAGTTAAAGTGGGCGTTAATTTTTGACTTTACTCTTAGAAAGTTTTCTTTGATAAGAATAAAATCTTGATCAGACGTCGCTGACGCAGAAATAAATTGAAGTTAACTTGTCTCTCACTTTAGTTACAACCCATTGTCTATTCGTGACCTATTTTAGGGATCGGAATTAAATGTGAAATTCGGAAACACTTGAACTATTAAATGAACTGAATAAATTAGAAATTTGTGGGTGGTAACAGTTGACCAATGTATTTTCAGACCCCTGTAAACATATAGCATTGGATGTTTATCCTCTAGGCTGACCTCATCAATCTTAACTTGGTAAAAATAACTCTAACTTTTTACATAAATGTCCAAAGGTGATGAAGTTTTGGGATTACCAACCAGCAATATATGGAAATGATGGTACAGGCGCTTAGAAATATGCGTCACTGAATGAATCACTTGAATTTCTTGCACCTGACAATGGGACACAAAGAGGAAGGGACTTGAAAAATATATTGAGATTGAGAATAGTGTATGATTAATAGGATGCAGAAGAAATGAGTGTGGGTTAATGAAATACTCAAAAGAAGTCAATGTACTGGTGCAGTTGTGATTGATTTCAAGCGTATACAACCATAATAAAATATTTGCATTATTACCAATAACAATATTAATAGTGTGATTTGACAGTTCCGTGCAAATATGTACGTACATTAAGTCACAATTGTTGTGTGGAGGTTAATAATAGTTTCTTCCTGCCTGAAAATTGACGAATCCAGCCAAGTAGCCCTAAGCTGCTCAAACCAGCAGCCACAGACTTTATGAATTGTTGTCACCTGGTATTCTGCTAACTTCTGACCTTCCAACGTAATGCTACTTCGACTATAAAGACTCTTACTTTCCTAGTGTAAAAGACTTATAATATGATGTAAGTCTAAGTGTGGAGTGGTGCTGCTGTCTGACCGGGATTTGACAGCAGTAAAAATGTTCTCTCAGATTACCTGCAGTCCTTACTGATGATACTTTGCGTTGGTAGCGAAAGTAGAACACTCTCCTGCTTTGCTTTAGAGTCTTCTGGTGCTAGTGGCATGGATTTTGTGGTTGAATTTAAATCAGTCAATTGTAATTGTCAAAATTTCATAACTAATATGTATGACTGATTTCCAGCAGATGGCCTGTAGGCTCTGCGGTCACACTTTCATTACTAACCCATTTTCTCTACTACGTACCGCATAGAACCAACTTTCATGGCGTCAGCAACCTCAAAGTCTCAATAACCCGCACCCTTCCGGCAGCATGTACAAACTTTGTTAATCATAGTCTACCTGCCTTACTTTTATCTCTTCGTTTGCCTTCACTTCTTGACACCAATATTAAACCTCTTACAACTCCTTACTGTTTCCTCAACGTCTCATCGTACAACCATTACTAGCGATACAAGCCGCAAAATCAATTTCTTAAGAATTCCTAAACCGTGCTGCCAATTTCAGACTGGTTGAATCTTAGTTGGTCGGAGGCACTTGGGAAGAAGCCCTGGACCTGGGTCTCGAGATTGCTGGCAGTCGTCACCAAGGCATATCTGCAGCATTGAGGGAGCTATTTCCCTCTGAGATTCGAACCTGTGTCACCCCGTGTTATAGTCAGCGATGTTACCACTGAGCTATTCGGGTTCCTATCGACCTCCTGTAGAACTGGATCAGATACATCGTCTGGTCACTGGAGAGCAGCCAATTTCATATTATCTAGTCCTGAGTACTCGCCAAGTTCTGTCAATCAAGAAGCACGGAACCGGGGCTTCTTTCCGAGCACTTCCAACCAGCTAAAATCCATCAAAGTGCACCGTGATGGTGAGCCTCTTACCTTGGTGACCAAATTACAAAATGATCGATCGAATTCGGTCAGCACTCAGAACTATTAAGAAACATTTGTTGCTCTCTGGTGACCATTCAATAGATTTTTAACCCCTTCTTCTATCAATAACGCGTAACCTCGAGTCAGTCCGGTTTGCAACTCGTTCCAAGTGGTATGGTTTAGACGTTTTTATCACCTGTGTTAGCTTCCTTTTATTAGGTGGCATGAAACGTAGTCCGTAGCTACTGAACTGTATTTTAAAAGTGCTATACTTCAGGTGTTCTCCATCTTATTGAATTGAGATCAATAGCTTTTTGATGAAAATTCGTTCATTTGATAATACTTCTTGGGTTATTAACGAAGTATTTGTTTCTTATTTTTTCTTAACTTCCTTTCGAGATCCTACTTGAGTGTTTAAGTACATGTTTTACTGAAATAAGGTATTCATAATAGCGTTCATTGTGATGTATCTATTTCATGACTGTAGGTAAGGTGAATTGTGAAGCAACCGCTGAAGATGATCACATTCAAGAGCTTCGTCTTTTACTCAACCTCTTGAATCGTGTTCTGTATCATGAATTTGAATTGAGACTGAGTGGAGCTATCGTGATGTCACGTGAAGGTGATGAACTTGTCATACAACCGGACTCTATAAATTCCCAGGAGGCAGCAAATAGTACTATTCCAACGGTTGATGCAGCTGTCATTGGGTTAGGACATTTGCTGCCGCTGATCACGGAGTCTATTTTAACTGTAAGTTGTTATTGGGGAGTTTTCACTATAAGTAGTTTTATAAATTATCTATTTAAAAGAATATAGTAGCTGGAAAGGTAAAAGATCACTTGACTTATTCAGTTCTTTTTCCAAAGCGATCTTGAAATCCATTTAAAATTTTGTCTTTTTTGACGCTACTTTCAGCGAGCATTACGTTCTTAGATCAGGAGACTTCAGAACTAGGGAGATCGCCCTCATCAGATATCCATCAGTTCCCTTAGTTGATATGCATTTCATCTGTACTGGTCTTTAATCGTTGTCCGTTTAGGTCAAACTGAGTGGCCGTTCATCATTTTGTAGAGAATATCTAGTGACTTCGCTTTTGCAGGTTTTTTACCGGTTGTTCCCAGATTGAACTGGCTAGAGCACTAAGATGCAATAACGTAATTGTCAAAAATAAAACGAATGTATCGGGTGTTGGACTTTCTAGATATTGTTTTAACAGGTTCTAGTGAACTTATTGACTGGAAGAGTGTAGTGGGTTTTGTTGTAACTTATCCAATTGTGTCTTTTTTGAATTTTAGATACCAGAATTATGTCAAGCTTTTTATTCACTAGCATCCTATGCATGCGAATTACGCGCTCAGGGTTTTATTCGGCTTACGGACCATCAACTATCTTGTTTTGGACGTCTTCTTCGGTTCGGAATATTCGGTTTGAATATTGGTCCAGCAGATCAGGTGAAATCTTCGTCTACAGGGGAATCTTCGTCATGTGCTGTGGGGTGTGTAGATAATTCGGTGATTCAGCAGTGTTTAGATATTGTTATATCACTGACTGATTATTTCTTGGAGGTTAGATCGCGTTCTCAATCGGGTAATACGGAGGAGCTACAAAACGCAGTTCGTCTTATCAGCGTCATCGGCTTGGAAACACAGTTTCTGTCTGATCTATTCACCTTGCTAACACGAGAAAGTTATTCGGTTAGCCTAGAAGCTTCATTTTCATCAGCATTGCTCAATTTAATTCATCTTAATCCGGTAAATATTTGCTAATTTTTTTTCATGCTTTTTTGTACAGTTTACAGGTGTTTAAATTGATTAATTGTCAGGCAGTTCTCATCAGTTTTTTGGTCCCAGCTACGATGAAGTTAGTAAACAAGATGTAATGGATAATTCTCTCCCACTTATTGCTATTCATGCACTGTATATCTTGTCTTCGATTATTTTCACCATCCTAGGTATCATTATTTTCATCTTCAAAACACCTCAAGTAAAGGTATACAACTAACACTGCAATATTCAAGACCTAAAGTGGTAGTTAAGTCGGGCTTCCTTATTGCGCCAATTACATTTACTTTTTCATCGATAACAACCATGAAGGAGGGTGTAGATCCAATACTAGGTGAAATATTTTTCGACTCGAAGTATACAGATGATATCGTTTAACAGTACGAAAACGCAAATTCCACTTGATTAGTTGATGATTAGTGTTTGGTGGTGTGCTTAATGCCCTGTGTGGTCAGTGTGTCGTTGACCTCTCTTTGAAAAGTCGGATTTATAGGCTTTCTGTGCCGATTATTACGCTCTGCATTTGTGAAATACTCTATTTGAAAAATATGAACATCCGATAACTATGTATTCAATGATTGTTATATTTGTGGGATTCTTCGCATACATGGATTTTGTATTTCTATTTTCGTCTCAGTGGTTGTCATATTGTTCAGCATCTCTGGATATAGATAGAATAAGGTTACAGGTGGTGGTTAGTTTATATCGTGTGGGAGTAAGTCTTATGTTTTTATTCCTATTTGCCATATGCTAAGCTGATTCTTACACTATATGCATCGCATCGGCTTATACTTTGGGAATACGGAGTCTGTAAGGGTCACAAGTAAAGTTATAACTCACTAGTTTAGGGAGTTAACTATCCACCAATGGGTTTCTTGTTCCTACACTGCAGTAAGGTAGTGTCATTACCTTTCACATAATGAATAGGTGTGATTCATTGCCTACTGCACGAATGTGCACAAGTTTGGTGAATGGATTTCAATTTGAATGGGTCACAATATAGAATGGAAGATGCGTTTACTGAATGCATATGAAAATTCACGAGAGCTTTTCCAGGTGGTTAGATCAAGTTATAGTAAAGAAGAATGCCTATTGAACAGTCTAACATCACAAACTATTGACTGATCATATCTAGGTTAGTTATTAGTTAGCGGATTATGCGAGTACGATACTGTCTCTGATCACTCTTCTCACTTTCTATTCCTTTTCCTTTCTGTTCTGATAGCGTTGTCACATTACTTCGTATGACACATTTTTATAATAGTATGTTGTACCAAGTTTGTATTTAATGAAAAAGGTGAGTAAACTTCTGATTTTCTTCACAAGAAGGTCGTTGTAAGTATAACTTGGTACAGCAGTAGTTCATGGATTCATATCATTGTACTGGAAACTAAGGTGATAAAATGAAATTAGGTGAACATGAGACAACTTAATAAGTTTTATTTTTTATAAGCGAATCTCCTAGTATTTCAAAAACCTGACAACTAATTGCTTATAGATTGTCTTATATGAAGTACAGCATGTTTCATTTGAAACGGTTTAGTCAATCGTTTGATTCCTTTCCTCTATACATAAAGGCGTTTCTCTTCTGCAAAAATTTGTCATGGTGTTTGGCAAGTGGAATTAGAGGCAAACTGAAAAAAGTGGTCTGATTGAACTGAAAATTTTTTTTTTCTTTGAGTGCATGTGAAGCTGTGTTAACTATGTATTCACAGAACTATCAGAGCTTTTATTATTTCTTTTTTGAAGCGCCAACGTTTTTTGCTTACTGAATTTAACTATTTCCCTAAACTAATTTCATGTCTGTTACTACGTATAAAGAAGTTATGATGTAAAATAAATAAAAACAAGTATCAGATATAACTCATTTCTTTTTAGATCTCTGACTCAGTAGTGTATCAAAAGTGGTGTCTATATTGGCTTTTATTATATTAACTTTACTGCCTAACTAACTCACTAGGATTGAAATTGATTAGAACTTGATAAGGATGAAAGGTGGTTTGCTTGTTAAGAACTTATACGATGATAAATCGTCAGGAATGTTCATCATAACAGGGCTTCACCTTTCTCCGCATATTTTAATCCTAGAGTCTAGTAAAAATAGTGTTATTCTGGATAGTTTATCCACTCTTTGGAATAGAAGAGGAAATTTACTTGTTAACCTGTTAAAAATTTGTTTCTCCTTTTAGACAGCATATTTACAACTTATTCATCAATGGATCAATGAATGTGGGAATCCTGTTATTCAAACTCGCTTAAATGATGCTTTTGAGCATTTGGGTAGTTCATATAATGAAGAGCGACAAAGAAGTATGCAGTCAACTGATCATACTTTCACTAAGTACACAGCATGTTTTCATGAAAATAAACCAACTCGTTCAGCTAGGTCAGAATTCCAACAACGATTTCATTTGTTTGTTGCTGAAATGCGTTCATTCATATGTTTTGTATAATTTATTCGTACATTATTACGATTGTCCTTCATATCTCTTCATCTTTTCATTGTGTACACAAATGCATACGATTGTCTCAAAGTGAAAGGGTCGCTAAACTGAGATGGTACAGTGAATAGCTTATTCATCTACTAACTTACTTTTTTTAGTCCCTCTGGGTTCTACTTTTCCAATTGGTGTTGTACAGACCTATCAGATTTCACTTTTGTATCACAATTTTTCAGTACTATGTATTATAATGCCTTCTATTGACTCGATATATATATATATATATATATATATATATATATATATATATATATATATATATATATATATAAAGTGGCCTTTCATTGAAATATCAAAGGTTCCATCTGGTTATTATATATACGTCAGTTCAATGTTTTAAGTAATCTTGGATCAAGATCACAAGTTGTTGTTCACGTGGAATTGATTCGAACATTTAAGTTAAAGATGAATCAAACAATTGTTTAAGTTGATATGTCCCAATATAACTGGTGTTTCAACTATGATTCAAACAGACCCCCCCCCTTCAAAATGAGTCAAGAACTGAAAAAACGTGCCACTGACCATATTGCTCTCAAACCATTGACCTAAGTCTGCACGTCATTATTACTGATAATTTGTAATGCAATTGCAGGAAACCACAAGACAGTAAGGAATGTTTATTATTCACATCTCGTACAGTAGTCATCAAATATTGTACACTTTCCACTAAAAGAGTCATTTACACAATGTGCTCCATTTCCTCTCCTATCTCGATTTGCTCTTAATACGCCCACATTGTCTCTTGCATTTATCTAAACAGAATCTTTACTCATCTCTGGTAATCGCCTATGATTTCTGCCTCCCTCTCTCAACATATACTACTTATATCCATTCTGATCAGCAGAGCCCACTGCACTATCAGAGATCTCAGTTTATAAATCATTTCATTTAGGTTCGGACTACTTTTTTCTTGCTATGAGATTCATTTTAGTATTTTTAGAATTCGGGAGAATTATTAGGAATATGCTCTGCTTATTCATCCTCCAAAGTATTTCTACTCTACTGGGTGACAAGATATTATAGATCACCTGCAGTAAGGATGTTCTATCTTCTATTTATGATTTTGGATGCGACAGTAAGCATTTTATGCCTTTGTTAGTGAAGTTTGTATAACATGAGTAACCTTCGAGCTTGACGTAATATGGCGAGACCTTTTGAGTTATAGGTGCTACTCATCGCTTTAGGCTTTTTAGCGATGGGCCCAGGTTACAAAACCAGTTTCACTTACTTGGGCCTGGATAGCTGGGTACTAGCATAAGCGTTCACATACGTTTTGGCTTATAGCATAGTACAGAAACATGACACTTGGTTGAGTTGTATTGTTAAATTCATATTGTAGGTGGTGTATATGCTAATATCCAAGCATTTTAGTGGTTATTTAGCTGGGTAGAGATGTTTAGTTATTGTAATAGCTTCATTGGATATTACGTGATGTTTCTAAAATAGTCGATTGGAAACTGAAGGAGACTTCCGAAACATTTGCTGAATGTACAGTTTTTAATAGATTTAGATGCTCGCACAGCTAAGTATCACCGTCTCTCAATGAATCATGTTGATGCACGTTCGAATCTCCTGGCTGACGTTATTCCTCTGAAGGTTGCAGATATTCTTTTTCGACAAGTGCCAACAAATATGAGAATTGAGTCCACGGTTTCCTATCGCTCATCTCAAAGCAACTGACAAGTCGAAATTACTTGGACTCTCAAGGTCTAATTTGTGGGTAACCACACTTTAAGTACCAGGCCAAAAATTTAGTGTCTTTTGCTACCAATGAGTGGAGCCAGTCGACATTGCTCATGCCTAAATTCAATGAATATGATCTATACGACCTTAAATTTGTAACAAGATTTATTTCCAATGTTGAACTGCGTAACTGTTGAATTAGAAGTGCCATTGGGTTTGCTTGTTTAGTAAACGTATAACTAGTGATTTCTCTGCTTGCACACCAGTCAAATTCTTTTGGATCATTGTACTTCGTTAACAACTTACATATTTACTTTTAAATGCATCATGCTTTGCCACTTGCATCCGATTTATACCTGACTAACTTGTGTTTTATGAAATCGGTAACCACAAATAAGGCAATCTAATAATTGCTAGGCACGAAATCGCATTGCTTTTAGCTTTTGAGGGAAAAAATTTGGAACATGCACAACCTAATGATTTACAAATAAAGAACTAGGAATTTTATGAAATGAGGTTATCTTCTAGGTATCTTATTATGAGCGTTCAGGTAATGCGAAAACCAATATTAACTTCGATTAGCATCAGCCAACGAAGTTACTTACGTTTATGACCAATTTAACCCAAAGCATTTAAAATAAGATAGCCTATTAGAATTACGGTACTTACCTGTAATACTGAGAATCAATTATCACCACAAATACAAATGATATGAAGACATAGTCAATCATTCAGCATCTACGTGGGATCTGGCATTACTGCGTAAGTATTGAAGTCGCAACACGTCATCAGCAAAACAAGCTAGGAGGGGTCACGATAACAGAGAGAAAAGTCGCCATGAAACTACCAATCTGAGCGAATTGTAGATGAACTGATCAGCCATATGCCGTAAATATTAGTAAGTGCAGAAAATATATTTCGTTAAGTTGTAGCCAGAGTAGTCATAACATTTTCCCGGAAATAATTTTCAACTGAAGACCTAGTAATGCACTACTTATCTGAGCGGTTTAACTAAGTAACATGTCTTCTTTTTTATCATTTGTTATGATAACATGTAGATAAGGTACTGATTAGTTTGATACATCGACTTATATAAGACTGGTCAGGTGTTAGGTAATGGGAGTAGAATTAGCTTTTCATAATATCAAGACTAAATAATTTCTGTAACTTCTAATTACTTTTGTGACTACAAGAGGATATATTTTATTGTTAAAAGGTGACGCTAAGAGTTTAAAGTACAAAACTAATAACAAAGTTGAGATCTTAGACCTGTAGAACCTAATATGTGACGTTAATGATGTATGCATAGTTGATTCTGAGGGTTTCAATTTCTTCGTTGGGTATTCGCTCCCACGTTTGACTTCGTTTGCCGCATGCCTTATGAATTTCCAGTTTCATCACATTCCCAGTTTTTAAAGCCTGTCCAAGCGAAAGGAAATAAAAACTTCATTGTTCACATGAATAAAGTGCATTCATATCATCTTGGCATTTAAGAATACTGGAGTGTCTTAGTAAAAACAGTCTTTAATATTTCATGTGTAAATAAATTAAAGAAACACGTTTAGTCAACAGAAGAAAGACACAAACCTATCTGGCTATCACAACCTGTCGTAAACTTCACGTTTTGTTGGGTCTACAAAGGATGACAAGCAAGCGGGTTTTTCTAGACTGACTAACTTAACATCATTAACCTGGTTCATATTTGAAAACGAAAAAGAACCTACAAGTTTTGAAAATAAACTAAATTGAAATAAGAGTAAACCTTGGTCACTTTGACAGAAAGTAACTGTAGCTTAGTTGACTATATGTAGGTTTGTCACGTATTGAAACAGGGTTATTTACTGAATTACGTCTCGGACGCAATTTATTATCCCTAGTCATCTCAGAATACCTCCAAAACTTTGAGATAAGGTTTATGTGGTTTTAATTCTTCGTGGTTCAGGTAGTAGAATTTGCCATGTATCTGCAACATGTGCTGACTCATTCCTATTGCATCTGTCTAGCATTGATTCAATAAACAAACATTCGGTTATCAGCCTCTTCCTCTACCCTAATAAAGACTGTTACTCCATCAGATCTTTTTGTGTATTTGTGTATAACTGTAAAGATTGCTGCACCAGAGCTTTACTCTATATTTCTTACTAGGGTGTAGGAATTTTGATTCAGCTAGGTTTTGGCGTTCGGACAGGCTTATCGAGCCTGGACAAAGGGGTAATGAAATGCAATATGATTAGGATGAAGAAAGTGTTTCGAAGTATTTTCGCCACTGTTATCCATTCTGAACCATATCATTTACAGTCTCCAGGCATCGACTTTGGTTACCATGTTGACGTTGATCGAGAAGTCTACATTTGCCTTTACGACTCAGGCAGCTAGAGTTCAAGAATTGTTATCACTTTGTTGTCAGGTCACCCTTCACTAATCTAAATCTACGTCGGTTAACATTACTGATGACAGAATATATTTATTATTAAATGCAGATGAGATTTTCAAAAATATGTTCAAGTTTTTCAAGATAATAAATTAACCAGATAACTCATAGTGATCAACATTTAGGCTAAGCGCCTTCACTTTTTTGTGCGAGAATTTGATTAGGTGTGGGTATCTAGGACTCGCCTTTCGTTGCGTGTAACATTATAGAAGAGAACAATTAATTCCAGATAGTAATGATTCGTGAAATGATAAAAAGGATATTGAAATACAGAATTTGAACAGTAGAATAAAAGTGATTGGTTTAGTAGGTAACTTCACAGACATTTACAGATCCAATCTTTACACTCCATGCAAGCTATGATGAAGTGTCATGATGCACAGGAAGTCCCTAAGTTCTGTGATAGAGTAAAGGAATTCTACGGCAGCATTTTAACGAGATGCAATGTCATCACTACCCTAGGTAACAGGATAATTTGGGTACGAGAAAAATGTAGGTTGTTTTTAATAACTTTACAGATGACCTTGGTTAATTCTTTAAAATATCATCGTTCTTCATACTCAGTCTCTTGAAAAAAGTGAAAACCATTGGCTAGTAAAGTTATCATGACCGCTTTCCACCAGAAGTGTTTCACGGCACCTGTCAACTACATTTACTCGACTTCTTTGTTTTATCATTATTGTTGGGAATTTCGTGCTTCTGATTTTTTTTAACCAGATATATAACATTTGTTAGTATATCAGCTTGAAATACCCATTGAAGTTTTCATGCGGTTTGGAACCAGGAGATTTTGAAGATCTGCTGATTTTTATAACTTAAAAATCCTTGGTTTATCACT